CTGTATCTACCTGTGAGAATCTATCTGTATCTACCTGTGAGAATCTATCTGTATCTACCTGTGAGAATCTATCTGTATCTACCTGTGAGAATCTATCTGTATCTACCTGTGAGAATCTATCTGTCTCTACCTGTGAGAATCTAACGCTAAAGGTCCACACAAAGCAAAAGTTGTCGTCATGGACTGAAATACTCTGACAACTGCTCCGGATAGAGAGAAGAATAGAACGACAAGGACGAGAAATATCCTCTTCCCGGTCCTAGATAGTTTATCAGAGGATTTGGAGGAGAAATCCGTCCTGCTCTTGGAAGAGTTTGAACCGTAGAATTTAGGCATCTGAAGGTTGGAGTAGGATAGAAGAACAAATCCAAAGCTGATACAAATACACCAACCTGCAGATATTTAATTTCAGTTTATATTCCTTTTTTTCTATCTTTTATAAAATGTTGTAAACAATTTTAGAGATATATTAGTTGTAACAAATGAAATTTTAAAAAATCTTTAGCCACATTACCTTAGGAAAACTAAGACGACATTCATTTCGCACGAATAAAAAAGGGACTGTTTATTTTATTTAAAGAAATGGCATGAATGATTCATATCGGTATCATTAGACGTTTTATCTCAGAAATATTTACGGAGACACAATTTTGTCTGGTGGCAAAGCGGATTTTATTTTCTAGAATTTGTCAAAAAATCAAAAGAAAGTTTCTGATATTTTTTTGCTATCTCCTCAAAGACAAGATTACTGAAATATAAAAACAAATGTTAAATTAATAAATGACCTGCAGATATTAAAAAGGGCCAACAAATGGATTGAATCCCAAGAATTGTTTCTATATGAAGAGAGCTGTTCTCCTGGTTCTCCTGGCCCCCCTGGAGCCCACTGTCAAGCTTGGATAGATTTCCAAAAGATGAATTATCCAAAAGTTTGCTGTTTGATCTAAAAAGTTTAATTGAGATAAGTATTTTCAGTTTGAGATTAGAGAGAGAACTGTGAAAGGAAAATGTTCTTCTCACTAGATTCTTCTCATTATAATTTTTATAATGAACAGTTCAACAGTTCAACAGTTCAACAGTTCAACAGTTCAACAGTTCAACAGTTCAGCAGTTCAACATTTCCACATATCAACAGTTCAACAGTTCAACAGTTCTACAGTTCAACAGTTATACAGTTCAACAGTTCAACAGTTCAACAGTTTAACAGGTCAACAGTCAACAGTCTAACAGTTCAACAGTTCAACAGTTCTACAGTTCAACAGTTATACAATTCAACAGTTCAACAGTTCAACAGTTCAAAAGTTCAACAGTTCAACATTTTAACAGTTTAACAGTTTAACAGGTCAACAGTTCAACAGTTCAACAGTTCAAAAGTTCAACAGTTCAACAGTTTAACAGGTCAACAATTCAACAGTTCAACAGTTCAACAGTTCAAATACAAACAATTTTAAGAATTCAAATGTAGATTACAACGAATTCAAATATGGAATTCAAAGAATAAAAATAATTCAAATATAGAATACATAGAAATCAAATATAGAATACGACGAATTCAAATATGGAATTCGAAGAATACAAAGAATTCAAATATAGAATACAACGAATTCAAATATGTAACTCGAAGAAAACAAAGAATTCAAATATTGAATACAAATAATTCAAGTATTAAATACAAAGAGTTTTAATTTATAGAATATAAAAAATTCAAATTTGGAATACATAGAGTTTGAAAACCATTGAAATTTAGCATACAAAGAGGTAAAATATGAAATACAACCAGTTTAAAAAAGGAATAAAAATAATTCAAATATCGAATACTAAAAATTCAAATATCGAATACTAAAAATTCAAATATCGAATACAAAGAATTGATAAATGGAATCCAAAAATAGAGTTTAGAAATACAAAAAATTAAATATTGAAAACAACTAATTAAACCTTTAAGTAAAAAGTATACTATATAGAATAAAAAAGTAAATATATAATTAACCATAGAAAAAAACGAATAAAATTATGGAATGCAAAGGTTCAGAATTATAGAATACAAAGATTAAGAAATATAGAATAAAAAGATTAAGAAATATAGAATAGAAAGATTAAGAAATATAGAATACAAAGATTAAGAAATATAGAATACAAAGATTAACAAATATAGAATACAAATATTAAGAAATGTAGAATACAAATATTAAGAAATATAGAAATATAGAAAAAAATGGAATACAAAGCATTATATATAAACATATAGTTTATTATTGTAGGATGATATTATGATTCTAGTTCTGTTCCAGGATTATATATATATATAAACATATAGTTTATTATTGTAGGATGATATTATGATTCTAGTTCTGTTCCAGGATTATATATATAAAAATATCTAGTTTATTATTGTAGGATGATATTATGATTCCAGTTCTGTTCCAGGATTATAAATATAAACATATAGTTTATTATTGTAGGATGATATTATGATTCTAGTTCTGTTCCAGGATTATAAATATAAACATATATAGTTTATTATGGTAGGATGATATTATGATTCCAGTTCTGTTCCAGGATTTAATTAGGAAACTATTGGAAAACCTTTGCAATGTGTGCAGTTTAGATAGAAAGTATATCATAATATATTTATATCAAAATTGGGACACATCGGGGTTTTCAGAAGAGGGGGGGGGGGCAGCAAACTGCATGAGTTAAGTTTTTGAAAAAAAATGAAATTTTCTTATCCCTATGTCCATACAACCTAATGGTGTAAACTTTTGATATTTCAAACTTAAAATATTTGATCTAACAGAATTCATAGTGTGAAATATTTAAGGTCTACGACATGGGTTTCCAAAGATATTGAGATTATAAGATAAGAGTTTGTGGCAAAGACGTCATCAATTTTGATAAAAATATTTGCATTTCTGTCTAAAAACATTACTGGAACGATTTTGTGACCTCGTAGCTCTCCTCTAGTTTTGATTTTGTGCACAAGTATGATGAGGTCACATATCAAAATATCAAAACATTTTTAATCTTATTCTTGTTGATAGCTCTACAACAAAAAGAAAGCATACAAATGTTCAATATTCCGTGGATTTTACTTTAGTTTACTGTGGAATATACCGAGGTTTATTTTAATCCCTACCTGCACACCTCTTCACTTGTCTCAGGAAGAAAAGGTTGAACTAGAAAAGTTCCAATAAGAAACCCAATGCTAAAAAGAAGTTAAGTTTTAAACAATGAAAAAACTGCATTACGACTTGAATAAGCCTATCATACTTCTAAAAGATCTCCCTTTCAGACTGTGAAGAAAGATTCTGTCTGTAAATATTCAAAATATTTTTTTGGATTTTGCTTTTCAGATACTTTGAAGATATTTTTAGTATGTTTTAGAAAAAATTTACACAAATTATGGGTTTGAGTTTGGTCTTTGCTTGATCAAAAATGTTGTCGTCTTGGCTTCAAATAGTAAATTTATTTTTATTAAAAAAATGTTTTCATAAAAAAAGGTTTGTGCTTAATTGGTCTTAATTTTGATCGATTTACAATTCTTATTTCTTATTGTTGAACCTGAATTGTTTAATGTGTATTGTGTATATATTAAAACAAAAAATAAACCTGATGAAGAAATGAAGAATGTTTATAAAAGGTCTGCTCGTCTCAGGACCAAGAGTAAATACAAGAAGAATACTGTCTCCAGTCAAAAATATCCCGTAGCATAAAAACTAGAAGATAAAGATAGAATTAACAGATTTTCATTGAACCTGCAAAAAGTGGATTTTGATTTTTTCACAACTGTTGTTGTTTATCCTTAATGCAAAATAAAAATGCAATGGTTGGTTGGATTTAAGATTGTCTTCCAAGTGGACGGACAGATGCTAAGGTCCTCATCCAGAAAATAATTGATTAAACCTCATTTATTTTACAATCATCAATCCTACAGTGTTCGAAGGATCGATCTGTCATTGGTCATTTAAGACAAGTCGAGCAAATTGTTAGGTTTACATGGTTTCCTACCTGAACAGATCCTCTAGGTTTCCTACTTGAACAAATCCTCTAGGTTTACATGATTTCCTACCTGAACAGATCCTCTAGGTTTCCTACTTGAACAAATCCTCTAGGTTTACATGGTTTCCTACCTGAACAGATCCTCTAGGTTTCCTACCTGAACAAATCCTCTAGGTTTTCTACATGAACAAATCCTCTAGGTTTCCTACCAGAACAAATCCTCTAGGTTTCCTACCTGAACAAATCCTCCAGGTTTCCTACTTGAACAGATCCTCCAGGTTTTCTACTTGGACAAATCCTCTAGGTTTCCTACCTGAACAAATCCTCTAGGTTTCCTACCTAAACGTATCCTCCAGGTTTCCTGCTTGAACAGATTCTCCAGGTTTTCTACCTAAACGTATCCTCAAGGTTTCCTACCTAAACGTATCTTCCAGGTTTCCAAATGAACATATCCTCCAGGTTTCCTACCTGAACAGATCCTCCAGGCTTCCTAACTGAACATATCCTCCAGGTTTCCACCTGAACGGATCCTCCAGGTCTCCTAACTGAACATATCCTCGAGGTTTCCTACCTGAAAAAATCCTCCAGGTTCCCTACCTAAGCGTATCCTCAAGGTTTTCTACCTAAACGTATCTTCCAGGTTTCCTAACTGAACATATCCTCCAGGTTTCCTACCTAAACGTATCTTCCAGGTTTCCTAACTGAACATATCCTCCAGGTTTCCACCTGAACAGATCCTCCAGGTTTCCTAACTGAACATATCCTCCAGGTTTCCACCTGAACAGATCCTCCAGGTTTCCTAACTGAACATATCCTCCAGGTTTTCAGCTGAACAGATCCTCCAGGTTTCCTACCTGAACATATTCTCCAGGTTTCCTACCTGAACATATGCTACAGGTTTCCTACCTGAAAAAAATCCTCCAGGTTTCCTACCTAAGTGTATCCTCAAGGTTTCCTACCTGAACAGATTCTCCAGGTTTCCTACTTGAACAAATCCTCCAGGTTTTTCTATTTGAACAAATCCTCCAGGTTTCCTACTTGAACAGATCCTCCATGTTTCCTACCTGAATGAATCCCCCAGGTTTCCTACCTAAGCGTATCCTCAAGGTTTCTTACCTGAAAAAATCCTCCAGGTTTCCTACCTAACAAATCCTCTAGGTTTCCTACTTGAACAAATCCTCCAGGTTTCCTACCTGAACAAATCCTCCAGGTTTCCTACCTGAACAAATCTACAGAAGAGAAGGATTGGAAGATTAGGAGAGAAGGGAAGAGACAGCGTGGATAAACCAGTGAGAAGAAGAGTAAGGAACATTGTCATTAGTTTCAATCGACCTAAATAAGAATTTAATCTGAGGCCCGGATCTTTCGTTACTAAATCACTAATCTGTTCTTCTCTTTCTGCTTGGGTATTCTTCTAATCTTTAAAAACTTTTCAATTAAACCTATTCTACCTGCAGAAGATGACCAATGAGGGGTTTCAAAGCTTAACCAATCAAAAGTCAGAATTTAAAACGGATTAAAGTTGCTCTGGTAAGATTTTATTTTTTAGGAACCATAGAATTTAATCCATTTGTTTGTTGATCAAAATAAAGTATTTTTTTTTGTTTTGATAAGACTTGGGCCGTCTAAGGAGAACATTAAAATATAACTTTTAAAAACTTCCTACGTTTCAAAAATTCCATCGTATTTTATATAAAAATTGATGTTTCAATGTCATAAAAGTACAAAATAAACCGAATTCATGTGTAATTAACTTCCTTGAATCAAAGCTCTCCTCTGTCAGATTTTTTATCAGGTTTCGAATATTTCTGGAACTATGATGTAATTAAGTAAAGTATACACCTAGATACAACCTGTGACAAGATGTTTAGTGAATGTATATGATGTAAGTATACTCCTATATATATATATACTAACCTGATACAAGATGTTTAGTGAATGTATGTATATGATGTAAGTATACTCCTATATATATACTATTCTGTGACAAGATGTTTAGTGAATGTATATGATGTGAGTATACTCCTATATATATATATACTAACCTGTGACAAGATGTTTAGTGAATGTATATGATGTGAGTATACTCCCGACCAGGAACCCAATGAACCCAAGAGTCCAGACCAGGTTGATTGTCCATGTGTCCGTGGATAAGTTGAACGCTAGATACGGTTGCATAGGTCCTGGATATTTATTCTTTTAAGATGAATTGTTTAGAGTTTAGAGCATCGAGCAGGTTAGATAAATATTATTAAATGAAGTGACCGGCTATGTAAGGTAGTTGAACAGAGGACGCAGTGTTGTGGAAAACTTTTTTAGGATTCATTTGAGACATATTTCACTTTTTAAAAGTCTGTAAATCCTGAGTTTGAGCGCAAATTAAACGTTCAAAACTCCTGATTTGGGAGTGGATACGCTTTCAGAATTAGTTTTTTTTTAATTATTAATTAACGACGACATAAAATGTAAACATATTCTACAATAAACTACAGACGTCATGTTTAGGAGCATTTGAGAAAATAAAAATTAATCTTATCATCGAAAATAAGTAATCTTGTTCAATTATTAGTTTCTATTATCTCATTATTCTAGTTTCTCGTTATTCACAAAGATGTTCGCAGATTTTCTATAACTATTATTGAAAAGACGACATTTAAAGAATTTGAAGAAATCTGCGAAAAAATTCAAAGAAAATTAGAAATTCAATATAATAATGAAAACGAAATAATCGATTTTAGCATTAATTTATTGACAGATTTCTTTTGTGAAATATGTTCCTAGCCATCTAATTAGATTACTGTATAATTTTTATTTTATTTTTCGTTGTCGTTATTTAATAATTAAAAAAAAACTAATTCTGAAAGTGTATCCACCCCCAAATCAGGAGTTTTAAACGTCACATTTGCGCTTAAACTCAGGATTTACAGATCTTTAAAAAGTGAAATATGTCTCAAATGAATCCTAAAGAAGTTTTCGACAACACTGCATACTCAGTTCAATTACCTTACATAGCCGGTCACTCCCTTTAATAAACAGATAAATGTTTTGGATTTGATTTTATGAAAGGATTACTTTGTACTTGCCTAAATCATTATTTTTCGAATGGCGCCATGCATAAAACCATAAAACTGAGGAATAGGACGACGACGTTTAAATATCGTGTGTTTGATGTTGTTTGAAAGCACATTGTTAAACCTGTAGCCTAAAAATCAAATTATGAATTTAAGTGGATCGGTGTTCACTGAAAATTGAAGTGTTTCTTGTTTTTTGTACTATTAAAGATCGGAAACTAACAACGTCTGCATTTTCCACAGTTTCATGGTTCTCACAATGATGGTATAATACACCTTTAAATATTTGAAACTTTTACTTTTTAAATTAAGAGAATTTATGTTTGAAATATTAAAGTTTCTATGTTGAATATGATCAGCTTTTTAAATATTTACAGAAAAAAGGATAAAATAATTATTTTCAACAAAATTGCAGGGAAATTAAGGTAACATTCTAAATTTCCCGAAGCAGTTGTTGTACACAATTTTGTCGTCTTTTAAGATGAAAATGCGCAATTTTTTTAACAAAAACTTCACAAAGTGGGAGGACATTTTAATAAATTGTTCCAAAGGACGTTAAGTAACTTAACATCCTGTCATTAATGTTGGTCAAAAGGCATTAACACACCTCAATACCTGTAATAGTTTGTATAACTCCATTTCCTAGTTCTGCTGCCCAGGCTAGACCAAGATAATAAACAATCCATTTATTCTCCAATTCGTTCTCAAGCTTGAGATATGTATTAAACTGAGTGCACATATTCAAATATTATCTAAACTTTTATTTATCAATTATTGAATCTGTACTTACAGTAAACTACATTAAGGATGAATGATATATAAATCTAAAAGAATTTGTTGCGCTTTTTGCATTTTATTATTGATTTGGAAAACTTCTGTAATTCATTTGAAAATTCTAAATAATAATCATCTTTTTTCTTACATTTATTGGATATACGACGGTTAAAAATTAGAATGAAGAATAAAGGGGTCACGACGAAAAGTAGACGAACGCCATTTTTTAGAACTCTTGCATAATCTACCATCATGAATTTATGTAGTTGAAGTGTCCTACATTGCCCGTGGGAATAGAAAAATTATGTTCACAATACTCAGTACAAATCGACCTCCTTCATCGAAACGGAAAATCTGAGAAACATGCCACTTATCCTTTGTACATACCTATCCTTTGTAATCCAGAGGGCAAATGTTACATTTTTAATAAACACACATACATACAGGGTGTCCCGATAAACACGGGAATAAACTGACAACTCTTATATCGCAGAATTATTACGTGAACAAAATTTTAGTATGTATCCCAGTTAACACAGTTAATAATTAAAACTACTAGTCTTGTAGTATCAAATGTTTTGCACCTTCAAAATTGACGGAGATATATTTTATTAAATAAAACCAAAATCGTCCAAATGTTTAATAATATCTCCCTCAATTTTAAAGATATAAAGAAGGCAGACAATATTTTCAAACGCTCATAAAACGAACAACTTTTACTTTTAAATTCTTTTCCATTTATCAACTTTCGGAAATCGAAGACGATTTCAAAGTCTTTTCCTAATTCCCATATTTTTTGGGAAACCCTGTACATAAATCCGTAAATATTATGCCGCTCATTTTTCGACCTATTGTTTATTCTATTATTATGAATAAGATGATGCTCAATTATAAAAAAGAATCCAAAGATTGCTATCTGAACATTGTTACCAGGATTATTAACAGAGATATTTAATATTAACTTAATTAGCTTTTATAGGAATTTCAAGGTATTTTGTAAATATAGAATGTTTAGTAAGCTCTTTTACAGACTCGGAAGATTTTTAGGGTTAACAAGAGTTGTTAGGTTTAGGATATACTAATTGAGAAGATACGGTTCGGATTCAATAGTATTGTGAAATGTTTAAAACTGTTCTTGTTTGGGAAGATTTTAAATGATGAACTATAAACGTAATTTTAAGTTACTCTTTAACATGTCCATTATACAAGGGTACCCATTAAGCTTCGTCCGATCAAATATGAATTAGATTTCAAGGTTTGTGTTTATGGAAACTGTTTATTTTCACTTGTGGTTTCTCTGAAAAAGGGACTCGCGCATTTCTAACTTTACAATCAATGGAGAAATTATTTGAATTTAACACTTTTCTTGCTAGAAAATCTATATTAACTTCCACATTATGGATTTAATTAATGTTTCAAGGATACTGTTTTGAATCGGGCATGCCTCTTTTTAATCGGAGGGATCGGAGGATTATTTAAAGTTATGACGATTGTCTTTTTAAGAAGGTTTGGTATGATTTGAATAATGGAAGGGTTTTAATTGGTTTAGTAGGTTTGTTTTCAATCTGTAGATTGAAAGGGTTGTCAGGATTGTGAAGAATTAATAGGTTTAGTTCGGATTGAGTGAACTGAATACTGAGGGTTAGGGAGATTGAGTAGGTTTAGATCAGCTTGAGTGAACTGACTACTGGGGGTTTGGGAGATTGAGCAGGTTTAGTTCCGGTTGAGTGTACTGACTACCGAGGGTTAGGGAGATTGAGCAGGTTTAGTTCAGGTTGAGTAAACTGACTACTGAGGGTTAGGGAGATTGAGAAGGTTTAGTTCCGGTTGAGTAAACTGACTACCGAGGGTTAGGGAGATTGAGCAGGTTTAGTTCAGGTTGAGTGAACTGACTACTGAGGGTTAGGGAGATTGAACAGGTTTAGATCAGTTTGAGTAAACTGACTACTGAGGGTTAGGGAGATTGAGCAGGTTTAGTTCAGGTTGAGTGAACTGACTACTGAGGGTTAGGGAGATTGAACAGGTTTAGATCAGTTTGAGTAAACTGACTACTGAGGGTTAGGGAGATTGAGCAGGTTTAGATCAGCTTGAATGAACTAACTACTGAGGGTTAGTGAGATTGAGCAGGTTTAGTTCAGGTTGAGTGTACTGACTACGGAGGGTTAGCGAGATTGAGCAGGTTTAGATCAGGTTGAGTGAACTAACTACTGAGGGTTAGGGAGATTGAGCAGGTTTAGATTAGGTTGAAATTAGAAATGTCTTGAGGGTTTAAGGTTTGGTAAAGAAGGAGATACAACGAAGTATCATTGTTCTTGTTTTTAGAAAATGGGATTCCAGAATTGCAAACAGCGGTGATAAGAAAACTATCGGAAAAATGTGAAAAATTAAGATAGAGATAGATGGGGAAAGGAGAAAAGAAAGAAAGCCGGTTTAGATAAAAGATCGGGCAAAGTGATGGAAAGGATAGAAAAAGAGGTCGGGAGGGGGGGGGGGTTGCAGCTCCTTCCTCTCAGACCCCTTGAGGGGAAACCCCATGGGGGGCAGTTGCTCACTCTCAACCCACTTGGTGGGGGGAGTGGGATCTGATTGACATATGTATTTGTGAGGGTCGATTTATCAGGGTAGAATAATTTGATATGAAGTAAAACTAGCAGAGCAAGTATACAAACAAGAATTTAAGAAAATTAAAGGGAATGTTCAGATAATTTTATAATTAAAATGATGCCCAATTAAACAAATTAAACAGAGGATTCTAAATATAATGCAACAAGTAGAAAAAGAACATGGTTACCCTTTAGATAAAGCAAGGATTTCAAAAACACAAATGAGACAAAGACATCAATCACACAGGAATATAACTTTCTGAACCCCTTGAAAAGGGAAAAGATCTAATAATCTTGTATATATGGACCAGAATATTAAAATAGTTAGAAAATGGTGGGACAAGAAAAATAGAAAAAACTCGGACAAAAAAGAAACAGGCAGGACAAGAAAGAGAAAAACTCAGATAAATAACAAACTGGCAGGACAAGAAAGAGAAAAAACTCAGATAAATAAAAAACTGGCAGGACAAGAAAGAGAAAAAAATCAGATAAATTAGAAACTGGCAGGACAAGAAAGAGAAAAAACTCAGATAAATAAGAAACTGGCGGGACAAGAAAGAGAAAAAACTCAGATAAATAAGGAACTGGCAGGAGAAGAGAAAAAAATCAGATAAATTAGAAACTGGCAGGACAAGAAAGAGAAAAAACTCAGATAAATAAGAAACTGGCGGGACAAGAAAAAGAAAAAACTCAGATAAATAAGGAACTGGCAGGACAAGAAAGAGAAAAAAAATCAGATAAATTAGAAACTGGCAGGACAAGAAAGAGAAAATAATGGAGAAAATGAAAAAGTAAATATTTATATGCATATAGCGAGGAAAGGAATAAAGGATTAAAATAATCAAGAAAATGAAAAAATAGATAGTAATATGCATATAGCTATGACAGGAATGAAGGATTAAAATTATTGAGAAAATGAAAAAGTAGATATTTATATGCATAAAGCTATGACAGGAATAAATGATTAAAATAATCAAGAAAATGAAAAAGTAGATATTTATATGCATATAGCTATGACAGGAATAAATGATTAAAATAATCAAGAAAATGAAAAAGTAGATATTTATATGCAAATAGCTAGGAAAGGAATAGAGGATTAAAATAATCGAGAAAATAAAAAAGTAGATATTTACATGCATATAGCTAAGAAAGGAATAGCTAGGATTCAAATGGATTTTTTAGCATTAATTCCAATCCTAATAAATAGATTCACTGTCTCGATGTTCTACATCAAGTGTAAACTCTATGCCCTCTGTCTAAACACTACCCCTAGAGTTAAAATTGTTAATTGAGCTGAACAACTAAATTGTTGCATCACATGCTCTTATCCTAGGAATTTATTCATCTCTCTGAGAATCTGTTTCTCTCCAGTTCTATAATTTACTGTTCAGATTTCACAAGAAAGGTTCAGTAACTCTTTTCAGTTCCTATTTCCTGGGCATCATTTATACTCCAAGATTAATGTGTTCTTTTATCAAAGATGTCAACTTGTTTTTTAAAATTGCTGTAAAATCACAGTTGTTTTTTTATGGGATGTTTTCCGTACTGTCTAAATCCGTTGAGTTGACAACAGTTAAAGATTCTAGAAACATTATAAATAATCCAATTCTATTCAGAATAAAAAGAAGTTTTACTGTTGCGTCTCTCACACAAAACGAAAAATATTAAAATTCAGCATAAAATCAACTTAAAGGGAGTGTTCGCGAAAAATGAAAGGGGGTATAGGCTTACGGCGAAAAATAAGCGCTTTTGATCTTATTTCTATCTTTAGCTTCTATAAGGATAACATTGTTAAAAACGACTCATGCTGAAGAACGTAGCGTCCATACAAATTCAGAAAGTTGCAATATTCAATTCGGATCGTAAAAAATCAATTTAATTCCAAACAAATCATTCAGATATTACAAACAAAAGTCATCGATTATTTCGACGCATTCGTATATAGTTAATATTTCATAATATTTTTGATTTTTTTTTTAAATATTTCTCTGGCGCTGGATTTTCGAACATTCCTGGAAAATATGAAAATTTCGTCTTCATTATCAAAAATCCTCGAAACAGGAATAAAAGTAACTCTCAGATCATAAAAATAGAAAATATTATGAAATATCAACTAAATTTGAATGCGTCAAAAAATTATCGATGGAATTAAATTGATTTCTTTACGATCCGACTTGAATGTTGCAACTTTCTGCATTTGCATGGACGCTACGTTCTTTGGTTTAAGTCGGTTTTAACAATTTGCCCCTTATAGACGTAACAGATAGAAGTAAGATTAGCAGCGATCAAAAGTGATTATTTTTCGCCGTAAGCCTATATATACCCCCTTTCATTTTTCGCGAACACTCCCTTTAAAAAGACTGTAGGCTTAATACCAAGTGACCTATTATTCTTAAAGTGGCATATCCGATTCACACCGGTATTTTATAAACCATCATCTGGAAAACAATGAATGAAAAAAATTATTGAAGTTTTTAATCTGGAAAAGTTTTAATTTTCTTCTTTTCTCTTGGCATAAACCTGCAAGTCACTAATATAGAGAATCCACATCAATTGAAAATAAACAGTTTTTAGCCATTCATCTTTCATAAGATACAGGCTGAAAAGCTAGGTACACTTGTGATTCAGACATGCAATACTTTAAATTAAACTAACGTCTCTAGTTCCTTTAATTTAAAAAATACTTTTTACATCTCTGTTTTATTTTTAAGTTAGAATAAATATATATTTGAGATTAATAACATAAATAAATACATGTTGCGTTTTAAATGTTCAGTTTTCTTTTCAGGATTCAAAAGTTTAAATGGGTTTGAAAGTTCTGTTCTGAACCATGGTTTACTTTTCCGGGTCCTTGAGAGAACTGTGTAACACAGCTTTACTAGCATGTATCCACCGGGTCCGGGCCAGGTAGCTCCTCAGGTTCCTCTTCTCAAACCCAGCACTTAATAGTTCAAAATTTAGAGAACGAGGCTCTTCTATGCACAAAAACTGTTTTCTGAAAGATCATTTACAATTTTTACATCTTCCTTTATACTTAATGTTGTCATGAAGCAACAACGTTGTACCCACGCTAAACTAAATGTCCTGGTTAAAAGCCCGGTCAGTCTTAATTTTAGAACCCATTTTTACGCATTAGACCTATATTTTATCTTATTTCTTATTTTATATCTTATTGTTGGATTCAGTATTTTCAAATATTTAAGAAGAGGTCTCTAATGCTATTTTCAAATATTTAAGAAGAGGTCTCTAATGCTATTTTCAAATATTTAAGAAGAGGTCTCTAATACTATTTTCGACAGATTATAAATGAGAAACAAAGATATAATTAAAAATATTCCGATTCAAACAGAATGCATTTTGTTGGAGCTAGTTTTACGTGTACCGAGTGTACTAGTAGTATGAAATTAAACCTTTTAAGTAAAAAGGGTCTGTTTACACTGCACAAATATTGCGTTTAAGGTTTATTGAACTATTGAAATCATAACTTGAGTCTAAGTGCAGTCTTCTTATTCCTCAGTTTTATGGTTCAAACTTTTCCACGCCCACTGTTACCTGTTTTTCCTGTTCCTGTGAAGGATCCAAGGATGGTTTAAAGCTTGGTTAGCAGATAATCTTTCACTAGGTTCAACATGAAGGAAGGAGGAAATAAAATGCTTGCAGGATTCACTGAAATATATTTAGAATATACAAATAGAGAAGGAAATAATTCATAATTCTAGTTTTGTCAATATCTAAGGTTTGTTTTGATACATTTCTACAAATCTCACAATAGTCGTCAGAATAATGTAGAATAGCAAGCCAATCTCACATAAATATTCGTGTTTTATTATTTTTAAGTTAACATTAATGGTTCTTGACTAACAACTTATGTTTGTAGAAATAAGCCGATGCACAGTTCTCACTGACACTTTAGGGAATTGGAAATTAAAATAGAAAAATTAAACCTGATTGGATCAAATTCTTTTTCTTCAAAAGTGTATCTCACTGAAGTTATATTTTCGAAGGTTTCAGACTTTGAGTCCCCTAGGAACGGAGAAAGTCCTAAAATAAATGATGGATACAAGTATGTCTATGGTAAATTAAGTAGCTGAAAATAAATAGATACTAAAACCAGAGAAAATAAAAACAATAAATAACACAGAGAACAAAACTTTTAAGAAACCAGAGATGGAATTTAAAGAATTTGAGCCGCGGTTTAAATCTGCCAAAACCCGGTTTAAATTCAGCGCCGGCTTAAATCTTGAAACATTTGATACAATTTTAAGTGGAAGCAACCATATTTAAACCACGGCTTAAATTTAATCCGCCGCTCAAATTCTTTAAATTCGGCCACAGAGCTGTGAACTTTAGAATGGTGGATATCAGGATTAATGCTTAATCCTCTCTTTTTGCTAATCTCGTGACTGACATAATCTCGAGATTATGCCAGTTTCGAGATTAATTATTTAGATCAACAATTTTGATTCTAAGAACACCAGATTTGCTCGGTTTCTTGACTGGAAGGGCCTTCACTTAATTTCTAACACATTTATTATTTATATATTCATTGGCTAAAATTAGTTTTAAATGAATCTCAAAGGTAATTACATATTTTTCTTCACCGATTAATTTACAAAATGGCCGACAACAAATTCTTTATTTGTTAGAAATTGCGGAGGTCTCTCATTGGATAAAATTTATTTTCAAGGCTGTCATTGGTCAAAACAATTTACTATATTCCTGCACTCTCATTGTAGAAAACAATGTACGGATCCAAAGAGAGATAAAAAGAGTGGATTAAGGACTAAAATTAAAAGTTTCCATAGTGGATATTCGGATTAAGCAGTCGGGATTAAAGGTTATCCATTCTAAAGTTCCTAGCTAAGGAGAACCTGAAAAAAGAAAAACCTTAAAATCGTGAAAAAAAGGAATACCGTATCAAAGAACCTACAAACTCTCAAGTAATATTTTGAAAGCCAAGACAATAACCTGATGAGAAACCTAAAAATCTTGAAGAACCTATACAGAAAATAATGATGAAAGAATCATTTGCTTGTACTCAACCTGTCAATAGAATATAGGCTACTACACCTAGAGACCACATATCACTGGCTGTACTGATAGATTCGTATTTGACAACCTAGAAGAAATACTGAAAACACGTTTCATTGTAGAAAGAATAGGAAGACGACAGTTAGTTAGTTAGATTTTAATTAGTCCAATAGACCTGGAACACAGCAATTAAATGTCGTCTTCCTACTCGACAGTTTTTTGTGTCTCACTGTAATAGAATCGTTTTATTTTGGGCCTTCTTTCAATTGCTTCTGTTTGTTATATTTCAACCTAACTTGTTTTCTATATTTATTAACATCTATTTTTTTGTTAACTTTCTCTGATTACAATCTAAGATTTTTTGACACCCTTTAAAAGGTGTAAGTTTTTCTAAGGTAACATAGGTTCTTTCATGTTTTTCTGCAGTAGAAATGAGTAAATTTCACTTCTATAGAGAAACCACAATTGAAAATAATTAATTTTTAAAATTAAAAACATTTATATATAATTCATGTGATCAAACTTACCTCCGGTGATACAAAGTCTGCAGTTCCTTCCATAACCCTGATATCCGAACCATCTAACCTGGAAATATTTGAATAAACAAACCGATCTCATTGAATAAATTGTTTCGTTATTGAATATAAATCCCAGAGTATGTTTTATATATACTCTTTAAAGAATTCTTTGTTTACAAATATAACCTAAGAGCTATTTTATTTCTTACCTTCTCGCCAAACCGAAATCAATAATCTTGAGATTAAAGGTTTCATTGTCTGTGCAAACAATATTCTCAGGTTTCAGGTCAAGATGAACAATTCTTCTAGCGTGGAGATACTCCAAACCTAAATTTAACAGGATTATATCTTGCAAACATGGTTAGATCTTATGTAAACCTGCATTAGACATGGTTAGATCTTATATAAACCTGTATTAGACATGGTTAGATCTTATATAAACCTGTATTAGACATGGTTAGATTTTATATAAATCTTTATTAGACATGGTTAGATCTTATATAAACCTGTATTAGGCATGGTTAGATTTTATATAAACCTATATTAGACATGGTTAGATCTTATATAAACCTATATTAGACATGTTTAGATCTTATATAAACCTGTGTTAGACATGGTTAGATCTTATATAAACCTGTATTAGACATGGTTAGATCTTATATAAACCTTTATCATACAAGGTAAGATCTTATATAAACCTTTATCATACAAGGTAAGATATTATGTAAACCTGTATTAGACATGGTTAGATTGAACCTGTATTAGACATGGTTAGATCTTATATAAACCTGCATTTGACAAGGTTAAGTCGATCTTATATAAACCTATATTAAATTTAAACATTTTTTAAACCTGTAAGAATATGGAAGATAAAGCCTGCAATGTGGAATTCCGTTAAATCCTCAGAAGCTTCTAATATTCTCATAAATAGTTCTGGTCCTTTTAGATACTCCAAGATCTACGATCAGAAAATCAAGATTTGTTTCAAGTTACATCGTTTTGTTTTTTCTTTATTGGAATTTCCTTCTTTAGCTCCAATGTATAGATCAATATAGTTTGAATAAGACCTTTGCAAAACATGAAAGGCATTACTTATAGATAACTAAAAAACAGAATTTTAGACGAAGATTTTAATATACAGGGTTACCCTCAAAAGTTGAAACTGCAGAGACGACTGTAGGGAATTTATTTAGACTTTGTTTATACATTACAGTTTCCTACACTCTGAAGCTCATTCTGGGCCCTAGTAAATTTGAATTCGAACAGGACCTGCCCAGTTTGTACCGGCCTGCCAGATAACAGCGTGTACTGACCCGACCATATTCTGTACAGTACGTCGCCCTAACCGGACTAACATACGACAGAGGTCAATTTTCTTGGCATAGTCCCGTCGGAGGGCTAAGTATGACAACTCCCATTGCGCGTTCAGACTTTTTACACTACCCGACCTAATCCTAGGGCTATTTGACCTACCCTACTGGCTTAGTCCACTGTGAGCTGTAGACATGTTTCTTCCTATGCCAAATCATTAAATATGCCATTAAAATTCTAAAATTAAGGCAGAAACCCATGTAATAAATAGTCCCATTCTGTGTGGGCAACCCTGTATCTGTAAAACTATAAGTATAAGATAAAACTGCCAAAAGCAATAAACTAAAGCTGCAACTGTGTGTACAGAACGAGACTGAGAGTAAGTTTTTAGCAGTGGAATAATAATATTGTGATTTTTAAAAATCTGATTTTTACGCCATATTTGTTGCAACAAACAGCAAAATTGGAGAACAATAAAACAAAATCTTTCATCTTTCTGTGGAATACAATGAATTCAAACGACAAACAAACTTTACGATGCATCTTCCGTTCATTGAGTTTTTGGAGTTATATTTTTAATACACAAAACATGACGGTTGATGAATAGTTTTAAATGTCTTCTTTCATAATTTATACAGTTCTTTGATGCCAAACAAAATAATAAAAAACATCACATGGCTGTCATAATACAGAAAAATTGATTTACAAGTAAAATATATTTGAGTAAAAGATTTTTTTTATCAAATTAAACTGTAACATGTCTTTAATATCTTATATAGTTTATGGAAGAAGACATTCGATACTATTTACCAACTCTCATGTATCGTGGGACACCCTGCACTTGTAGATAGTACTGTACTGTTTACTGAACCTGGATAATTGTATCTGAATCTTGATAAACCATTTCTAGCTTCAACAGAACAGGATGGTTCAGATCACTTTTCAAATAGATAATCTTTTAAATATACTTTTTAGGATATTAAAGAAGCTGCGGCTAGGAGATAGTTCATTTTTTATTCGTTTTGAGGTTTTTATAGACTTTTAAAAGGGTCTACAAACATCTAAGAAGTTTTGTAAATTTCAAACTTGTTTGTTTAGAATAATCGTACTAAAAGCGAACTTTGACAGAAAATAGTTTTAAAATGTTGAAATTTCTTTAAAAGCATACCAAGTTATGTTCCACTCCGGGACACGGAAAAATCTGGTTCATTTCAAGTACTGCCACAACTTTTAAACATCTAGAGAAAATTTGTTCAATAAACACGAAGAATATAGATAGAAAACGAAACAGTACACGAAATGAATCATCCCTTTCTAGTTCTATAACTACCTTTCCCTTGATAATGAATGCCGATTTCTAAAATGTAAAAATGATGGTGGTTGCCTCATCTTCATTTTTTTGTTATATTCTAGGGTTGTGTCTGTTTACAATGTTAAAATTGTTGTCTGAACCAAACAATTATATATTTCCTTAAAATCTGTATTTCCTCCAGGATTCGTTTCTTCTCACTGCTTCGACGACATTCAATATGCTTCGCAGCAAATACTTGACCTGGATAAAACTAGGTTTTAAACAAAACATTTAGGATTCAAAACACATTCTATAACACAGCCGCTGCAGTGTTTAAAGGTAATATTCGTCTATTTAAAAAATACGTAGATAAAAAAAAATTTTAAATCAGGAAAACGACAATCTTACTGCATGCTTACAGTTAAAGATGCCAAAATGTCAAAATCTGAATCATACCGTGTTTGTCAGTATTTGAAAATTTTGCTAATTTATAAACGTTTTTCGTTTATTATTAAAAAGATAAAATAATAAATAGTCCTTGTTAACTTAATTTAAAAAGTTACGTTTAGAGTTATCATATTAAAATATTATACTATTATATATCCTATTATACTTAAAAAGTATTAGTTTATTTTGTGCTTCAGAGGTAAGATCGGCTTTGTCATGTTTCTAAATCTAAAAATGGAAGGTTTTGTGTATTTTCAACAATGTAGATGAGCAACCTCTTCCCTTAAATGAATTGCTTGCAAACATATTGTTACGGACATGAGCAATAAAAAAGCAATAAAACATGGTTTCCTCATAAATAGGATTATTTTTCTTTATTTTTCAATCTTTTAAATAATCTTAAAAAGTCACAGATGTAAAACAGTTTATACAAAAAATTGGAAAGTCCTGATATTTCTAAACCGTGGTTGTCTCGATTATAACTGTTAAAGCTTATAAAATCTTGCTAAAAGAAAACTAATAATAATGTACAACAAAAAGCTTAAAACAAAAATTTATATATACGAGAGCAAATGTTTTTTTTTCTGTCACAACTGTCAAGTTTAGATGAATTCACAGTGAACTAGATAGTAGGTCAAATGTATGAAACAATTAGTATACGACCTCGCTGCTTTATTACTACTAGCTAAAGGGCCCGGCGTTGCCCGTGGAAAAAAAATTTTAAGCCAGTCGGTCCAGCCGTTTGGCTGGCTATACGCAACATATATACGAATGTCTTGATTTTTTATATAGAATACTGGTTTAAGGGCCCGGCGTTGCCCGTGGAAAAAAATTGAAAAAAATGTATAATTTTTTTAGCCTATAACACCCCCCTGGCCACCAATGAGTGTCCACAAAAAATGTCAGCCCAATCGGTCCAGCCGTTTGACCGGCTATTACATAGGAATGTCTTGTTTTAATATTTAGATGAGAAAAGCATTCGATAAAATACTATAAATTCAATAAGCTCGCAATAACTCTACAATAAGATAATAAAGTACAAGATATATCGTGCTATACTTAAGTTTGACATGGACTAATTATACTTTGTGGCATGATCACAATAATCTAAATCACATCGGATGTATCGAACTAATTCCGACACAGTTCAACTCAGAACTTATTTCTCTTAGCAGAATATTTCCATTATACCTGTTAACCTGCTTTCAACCTTGAAAACTGTTCCAAATCTTCCTTTTCCAATAAACTCGAGATCTTTATAATCTTGAGAAAATTGATCAGTGTGAGGAAACAAATCCACATTCTCTGCTTGAGAAAATTTGTCAGTGTAAGGAAACAAATCCATATTCTCTGCTTGAGTATATTTATCAGTGTGTGGAAACAAATCCATGTTCTCTGAAACCAGGAGAACAATATCAATCAAATGAATTGAGACTTTGCCACAAACCTAATCCCTATCTAACACAACTCATTGCTTGAAATATAAAAGGTCTGCGGCATTGGAATGAAAATGTTTAGGGATTAGAAAATTAGAGAGTGTTTATGGCACAGACTTAATTCCTTTGATTTTATATCAACCGTTGTTCCTACAATGGCGATATTTCTTGAATTTGAAACAAATGACAAATATTCAGTTAAAATCATTGAAATCCGCAGAAATGTTGTTGCGGTGAAATTTACTGCAGATCTTGCCAGGCTACATTTGTGGCATAAAACGTGTTGGGTCAACTCTACACTAGGTAGTCCTGACTGGACAGTACATTTGTGGCATAAAACGTGTTGGGTCAACTCTTCACTAGGTAGTCCTGACTGGACAGTACATTTGTGGCATAAAACGTGTTGGGTCAACTCTTCACTAGGTAGTCCTGACTGGACAGTACATTTGTGGCATAAAACGTGTTGGGTCAACTCTACACTAGGTAGTCCTGACTGGACAGTACGAGTGAATGTATGTACAGCACAGGCTTGGATCATACAACTGTTAGAGTGTTGTAAATAAATTATTTATGATAGAGGTTTATAGAATCTATTTCAAAAACTTTCGATAGGAGATATATATTCATAATCTGTCTGCCTACGCCAGTTCTATACACTGTGTAGTTTGCAACGTTCTGGAGTCATGACGAATTTTGAAGAATTGTTTATAAACAACAAATGCATTGAATGCGTAAACATATTTTCCACTTAGTTTAAAGACCCATTAGTTCTTCACTTGAAATAAACAAACGCTGCAGGAGAAACTTTAGCAAAATAATGTCAAGCTTCATGTTTATAGTTTTCATAAGTTATAAGAAAAGTGAAAATTAAGATACTTAAACCACTATTTTCAATATCTGCAATTTACGATTAATTTAGAAAACTTTATCGATTTATTTCAAGAATCGTTTTCCTGATATGCATCTTCAAAATGTTTAAAAAACTAGCGTTAAATTTAGAATATCTAATTGTATAATTACTTGTAGTAATAGTATTAACAATATTCAATAATCTTGACTATTACAGTTATTCTGGATTGTAAATCTTAATAAAAGTTTTAGTGAAATATTTGTCAGCTTGAACTTGAATTCGGACGATGTTAGTTTTGGCAATGCTTTTTTTCTAACAACGACAGGAGAAATCTCTCATCACTTTGTAAACACTTTTCAAATCTTATCTTCTCTCTCGGTTCTGTGAGTAGTTTAAACTAACTCAGTAGAGCAGACTGGGACTCATAAGCCCAGCCGGTCAGGAGGAGATCTAGGGATCCAGGTATACAGATATACAGGGATCCAAGTAAACAGATATACAGGGATCCAGGTATACAGATTTACAGGGATCCAGGTATACAGATATACAGGGATTCAGGTAACATATATACAGGGATCCAAGTATACAGATATACAGGGATACAGGGATTCAGGTATACAGATATACAGGAATCCAGATATACAGATATACAGGAATCCAGGTATACAGATATGCAGGGGTTCAGGTATACAGGGGTTCAGGTATACAGATATACAGGAATCCAGGTATACAGATATACAGGTATTCAGGTATACAGATATACAAGGATCCAGGTATGCAGAATGCAGATATAGAGGGATCCAGATTTACAGATATACAAAGATCCAGGTATACAGATATACAGGGATCCAGGTATACAAATATACAGAGATCCAGGTACACAGATACACAGGGATCCAGGTATACAAATATACAAAGATCAAGGTATACAAATATACAAAGATCCAGGTATACAAATATACAAAGATCCAGGTATGTACAAATATAAAAGGAGCCAAGTATGGGTGAATACAGAAATCTCTTCATAAAAATTTATTGGGAAATATGTATGCAGTATAATTGCACACAAGGTTATAATGCAAGGAAAGTTAATTTCAGTTGCTTATACTCTGCGTACATATTGAAACCAGTTTTCTCTGGGTGGAATTTGTAAACAAGAATAGATGCATCAGTGTTAGTTTAGTATCCGAGGAGGTTAAAAGCATTAAATTTTGATAATTTTGGTAATTCACATAATAGTTTCCGTTAACCAGAATATTTCATTAATTTTTTATGTAACAGATGGATCCCATGTCAGGCTTCGACATCCGTCCTGAGCCCGAAATTTAAAAGAGTATCGTTCAACGAAACCCTTGAGTTTCCTTTTTGGGGTCTTAACATTTTGTAGATTTTTATTTGAGAGATTCGAGAAAAATGGAGAATAGGAAGAAACAAATATTTCATAACAAAAATATCGATATCCACAAAACTGCTTAATCCCATTCGTAAAACCCGGGTTTTAAAACTGGTTTTCATAACGATACCCTGTCTTAAGTTTTGGGCTCTGTGTTTACACTACCGGCCAGAGACAGTACACTGCAGTACAAAAGATGCGTACACCTCTGAAACAACTTTCCTTGAATTAGAACCTCATGGTTGCACAGGGGTTCTGCTAAACAGATATCCAGGAATGCATTTAGTATACTAAGAGTAAGAATATAAAAAAGATAGATCGTATGCAAAGGACCCATAATATTAAAAAGAATGGGATCCAAAACAATTTCCAAGTAAAGATGGCCTGCTCTGTATGTTACCAATCTAAAGGCCAATTACTTAAATCCATTATACTCTAGAAATTATACTCTATTATTATACAATTCACTCTGATGGTTTATCTATCTATCATAGTAAACAGAGAACCCAGGTAGTTTCACATATCAGAAAATAGTTTTATTTAAAATCTAGACGAACCATCTTATTGTAGAGCAGTTGAGCTGTTGGGTAGGATTTATATTGTTTAGAGTAGAAGAACCATCTTATTGTAGAGTAGTTGAGCTGTTGGGTAGGATTTATAATGTTTAGAGTAGACGAACCATCTTATTATAGAGTAGTTGAGCTGTTGGGTAGGATTTATATTGTTTAGAGTAGACGAACCATCTTATTGTAAAGTAGTTGAGCTGTTGGGTAGGATTTATAATGTTTAGAGTAGACGAACCATCTTATTGTAAAGTAGTTGAGCTGTTGGGTAAGATTTATAATGCTCCAGGAAAGAGTTAAAGTTTAATTTTGTTGAGACCTCTTTTGGTTTCTTGCCAGCTAGTCGAGACCTACACAGAGTACGAAGATTAGAAGATATACATTGACAAAAAATTTTAATTTGAATGTACAGTAGATAAAGTAAATGTACAGAAGATGAAAAGTAAATGTACAGTAGATGAAACGTAAATGTACAGTAGATGAAAAGTAAATGTACAGTAGATGAAAAGTACAGATGTTTGCATCACAAAAAGACCAATAATGTAAAGAGAAAATTAAGTATTTTGAGTTAAACCTAGGTATCTAGAAAATAGATAGTATATGAATGTATACCTTGAGTCTTCTGTGATTACAAGACCGGTTTTCTTCAATCCTTCCTTGCATACGGAGTAAACTTCTAACCTATCCTTTTTATCCTAAATATGTATACAGTCCCCACAACAATCTGGAAATAGGTTTACTGATTTGTCGTTTTATTTGTATGCTTGAGCTTGTCCCCACATCCCTTAATAACAAAAATAAAATATTTAAGTTAAAAATACAGTAGTCCACACAAAACTGTGGAATACAACCGACATTGAGCACTTTTAGACTAAAGATATGATTTTAAACATGAAACACAGCAATTGTGCAGTTGATTTTCTTGATACTAGAAACTTATTATTTGCTTTATAGCAACATCAAATACATTAAAGATTTCTTAAAAAGGAATTGAGTCTTTGCTACAAACTTTGATAGTGATCAAGCCATGAACTAAGTTTTAGAAAGATTAATAAAGGTTTTCTCCGTGTTCTGTGTTTTACCTTGAAATGCATAAGAACTGGAGGAACGTCAAGGTGAGGAGGCCCTTCTACCCACCGATATAAATCCTGCATTTCATTCGTTAGATTTTACATTTCTTGGTTCGTTTTAGGTAAATCCTAAACTTCGTTCATCAGATTTTACATTTCTTGGTTCGTTTTTATATAAATCCTAAATTTCATTCGTCAGATTTTACATTTCTTGGTTCGTTTTATGTAAATCCTAAACTTCGTTCATCAGATTTTACGTTTCTTGGTTAGTTTTTATATAAATCCTAAATTTAATTCGTCAGATTTTACATTTCTTGGTTCGTTTTTATATAAATCCTAAAAACTTCGTTCATCAGATTTTACATTTATTCATTCGTTTTATATAAACCCTAAACTTCATTCGTCAGATTTTACATTTCTTGGTGCGTTTTTATTTAAATCCTAAACTTAATTCGTCAGATTTTACATTTCTTTGTATGTTTTTATGTAAATCCTAAACTTTTTTCGTCAGATTTTACATTTTTATATTCGTTTTCATATAAATCCAAAACTTCATTCATCAGATTTTACATTTCTTGGTTTGTTTTTATATAAATCCTAAACTTTATTCATCAGATTTTACATTTCTTGGTTCGTTTTTATAAAAATCCTAAACTTCATTTATCAGATTTTACATTTCTTTATTCGTTTTTATATAAATCCTAAACTTCATTCGTCAGATTTTTCATTTCTTTATTCGTTTTTATATAAATCCTAAACTTCATTTATCAGATTTTAAATTTCTTTATTCGTTTTTATATAAATCCTAAACTTCATTCGTCAGATTTTACATTTCTTGTTTCATTTTTATATAAATCCTTACTTTATTCATCAGATTTTACATTTCTTTATTCGTTTTTATATAAATCCTAAAGTTCATTCATCAGATTTTACATTTCTTGTTTCGTTTTTATAAATCCGAGGCTGAAATTAATGGTTGTAAGAAAGGAACTGAGTTTTTGCCACATATTAAATGTTCTAATCTCTGCATCTTTGCAGCCTGCTGCTGGTGTAAACGTTTGATATTTCAAAGTTAGGGTTTCTAATCTAACAGAACCTATAGTTTGAAATATTAAAGGTTCACGACATTGGGTTTCAAAGACATAGGGATTAGAAAATCAGAGTTTACAATAAGGGCTTAATTCCTTTTGTATATAAATATTTACTTGACCTTGAAAACAATCTTTTTTGTGATTCCTATTTCTTGAATAATTTTCTTCACCTTCTGTTCCAAAACATCTTTCCTACGAAAATGGAGAGCTGGAGTTTATTGAATGAACGGCCCGGCCCTAACTCTACGGTAAGAGAACTCATTTTCTTCTGTCTTTAACTGATCCAAGGGACTGAAAATGACCCTACTATAAGCAGAAGGAAATACTAATTCAAAACGGCGCATTACCCTAGAAACCTTAATCTGATTTATAGATGGATGATAATGTCGTTTTTCAGGCTTGTGTAAAGTGTTTTATTCTGATTATTTCTCCACAGCTTCTGAAGAAAAAAAATGCACAAGTCACTTTTACAGAAAAAAATGAACAGCACATGGAAATCTAATTTACAAGTTTTAAAGGGTAAATTGTTGTGAATCGGACATCATCCTTCTCTCGATTTCTTTCAATAGAGGGTAACTTAACATTCGCCTTAATTGGAAAATTCGATTTACTCTTATTAAATCAAAAAAAAAACATTATCTGATGTTAAAAACAGGGTTTGGAATTCATGAAGAGAGAAAGCGGTAGTTAAACTATGCATGACTATGGTTCAAGTTGAGATGGGCAGCGCAGGAGAAGTAGTTGAACAGTCGTACCTAGTTAAACTACCTCTAGTTCTTCAATAAATTCTCCCCCAATGTTTACCTAAAATCATCATCATCAGCCATCTCCTCCTCGATCCAATCAGATTCTATTCCGTGGATTAGTAAAGTATAATCAGGATCTAGAGATCCATAAACACTGTGCTCATCCTTCTCCTCATTCTAAAACCAGATAGCTTTTGTATTTCTGCATTCTTCTTATCACTCTCTTTCACATAAACCAACTATTTCTTCTGTATCCGTCCTATCCCTATCTTTATTCTGAACTAACTAGCTCTTCTGTATCCGTCCTATCTTTCTCTTTATTCTGAACTAACTAGCTTTTCTGTATCCTTCCTATCCTTCTCTTTATTCTGAACTAACTATCTCTTCTGTATCCATCCTATCCTTCTCTTTATTCTGAACTAACTCTCTCGTCTGTATCCGTCCTATCCTTCTCTTTATACTGAACTAACTATCTCTTCTGTATCCGTCCTATCCTTCTCTTTATTCTGAACTAACTATCTCTTCTGTATCCGTCCTATCCTTCTCTTTATTCTGAACTAACTATCTCTTCTGTATCCGTCCTATCCTTCTCTTTATTCTGAACTAACTAGCTCTCCTGTATCCGTCCTATCCCTCTCTTTATTCTGAACTAACTAGCTCTCCTGTATCCGTCCTATTCTTCTCTTTATTCTCTTTATTTTGAACCAACTAGCTCTTCTGTATCTGTCTTATTCCACTCTTTATACTGAACCATATAGTCATTTTGTATACCCGTCCTATTCCACTTTTTATACTATACGAGCTAGTTCTTCTCTATCCGTCCTATCCCACTCTTTTTACTAAACTATCTAGTCTTTTTATACCCGTACTATACCGACCCTTTATACTGAACCAGCTAGTTCTATTATATACGTCCTTTTATACTCGTCCTACTACACTTCCTGCGTCCTGTCCCACTTTTTATACTGAACCAGCTAGTTCTATTATATACGTCCTTTTATACTCGTCCTACTGCACCTCCTGCGTCCTATCCGACTTTTAATACTGAACCAGCTAGTTCTTCTCTATCCGTCCTTTCCTTTCTCATATGCCTGAACTTACAATGTTCTTTCATTCGTCCTTTCCTTCTTATGTCAAAGGTAGCTAGTTTTTCATTATTTCTTTATTTCAAACTTAGCTAATTTTTCTGTATTTGTCTTATCCATATCTCTGCTATTTAGTTTATTTTAGTCTTACTTCTCTCTCCCACAGTTTAAACCTTCTCCTCTACCTAAACCCAATCAGTTATTCGGTGTCTGTCCAATTTAATCTCATGAACTATGATTAATGACGTAATTCTAATATCTCTAGTTTATTGACTGAATTACCTCAGCTTTTGGTTTGGTTGAACCAGTTTTAATAGACTCGTCGCGAACTAAATTATAAAATAAATATGATTATTTTTATAAAGTTTTAAAATCAACTTTTATATAATAAAGCTCTCCTTGCTTTTGCACTTTAGATACAGGGGTTCTAGATTCACACCGAGGTTATGGACCAGAATAGACACCGTCTGTCAGTTTTTGGACTTTAGATACAGGGGTTCTAGTTTCACACCGAGGTTATGGATCAGAATAAACACCGTCTGTCAGTTTTTTGCACTAATCGAAAGATTGGCATTTCAGGATAGCTTCATTTGTCACTAGAAAAATAATTATTTTTTTAATTGTTTGCAAAGTTTCATTTAACATGACGAGGGCAACAAATTCGATTATACAATTATTTAATATAATTATTTAAAACAAATATATCTTTTTAAAATTTTATGAACTGCTAAATTATTTAAAGATTTTTTCACATAAGATTTATTTATAAATAAAAATAACGATGATTGATTTTCCTGCATTACCCCCATTTCTAGTTTAATCTTATTGTAAGAACAAAACAATTTGAATACCATAATTTTAAATGTCTGTAATTTTTTGTATCATGAAAGAACAGAACATAATATTTGCGTTTTTTATTTCATTGTTTGAATTTTCCATTTAAAAAAATCACGGTTTGGGAAAACTTCCCCTGAAATGAGCTTACCACCTTATTTATGGGGGGGGGGGGTATAATAATAATATTAATAAAGTTAAATGGATTGAGAAGTATTTATTATCTTTTCATGAATAAAGGAATGATCAAGGATTCCAACAGTATAGATAGTTTTACTAACTTTACTGAACCAACAAAACTTTATAGAATAAGAAATTGTTTAAGTTTTATTCTTGGATAATAAACATGATAGATTACAGGGAATATTAAACAGACAGGCCGGGGGTGTACCGTGTAGGACAGGGAGAAGGAATATCATAAAATATCAGACCAAAAATTAATTTTGTCGGTCAGTCCTGAAATAATGCAGTAAAATAGTTGCAGGGATTAAACTTGAGATTTTTTAATTTCATTAGTTTACCAAGTGCAAGTGAAAGAGGGAATTCCGATTGGGAAAGGGTTGAGGAGGGAGAACGTTAGTATTTTGTAAAGTTTGATCAATTCGAATTAATGCATCTTGCAACTTAGCTTATTTATTATATAATTTTAACAATTAGTGCTTGTACTGGGGGGGTGGGGGTTTCTATAGAATGGGACGAAGTGGGATTGTAAATGTCGTAATATATTGGAAGGAAGATGGTTGTTTCCCTAATCCGCTAAATAGGAACTTGGGTTTTCAAACAAACTTAAATTTTCTAATGCCAATATCATTGAAACCTTTGATATTTAAAACTTAGATTAATTGATCTAACAGAATGTATAGTTTGAAATATCAAAGACCTACAAAATCGGGTTACAAAGATATGGGGATAAGAAAATCAGAGTTTGTGGTGAGAACTCTTTTACCTGGAACTTCATTCCTCATTTTCTTCTCCGGAGAAACATCCTTCCTTTGAACAGATTTACTAGGACGCCGAGCTTTAGTTGGAGAAACTGTCTAAACCAAGAATAAACTTTACATGAAATGTTTATAATTTCAGCGAAGAATAAAAGAATCCAAACCTTTCTGACAGGTTTCTTGTCTTTTGAAGACGGAAGAGTAGGTTTTCCAATAGGTTTAACTGGTGATCTTCCCCGCAACCCTGCCTTAGCTACGGTACTAAACAGGAGAAAATTGATTTAATTTCTCTAGATGCTGTATCGAATTAAATTATGTATTCAATCTATGCAGGAGATGATATACAGTTGCTGATGCTTCAGGTGCAGTATTGAACAGGAGTTAATACTTAGTTCTTGCTCCAGATGCAGCACTGAACAGAAGGACATATTTAAATCCTACTCCAGGTGCAGTTTGGAACAGGAGTTACTATTCAGTTCATGCTCCAGGTGCAGTGTTAAACAGGAGTAAAGATCTAAATCTCCTGCTCCAGTGTTAAACAGGAGTAAATATCTAAATCTCCTGCTCCAAAAAAAGTACTGCTCCAGATGTAGTATTAAGCAGGAGTAAATATTTAAATCCAGCTCCAGATGCAGTATTGAACAGAAGTGAATATTTAAATCATGCTCTGCGGATGTAGTATTAAACAGGAGTGAATATTTAAATCCTGATCAAGATGCAGTATTGAACAGTTAACTTTTCTAAAAACTCTATTCTGAGTGGATTCAAATTTTATATTTTTAGGTTTTTGAAATATGAATGTTTCTGCAAGGTTTCTAACCTGTTAGGTTTATATCCAACTCTTCTAATACTTGAATCCTGAGTAACTGCAAGATCAGTGTTAGTATTACTGTCTCGTATCTTTAACCAAACCTGAAAATCAGAAAAAATCTTTTAAATTCGTGTTTTGTAATGTTTTATAACTAATAATTACTTATTGTATAAATTTTTAGTAATTTAAATGGAGAGGGATTTTTTTTAAATAAAGATAATTCATAACTACAGTCATAGCCAGTAAAAACCGGAAAGTGGTTTTTACAAAGTTTTCTATTCAATAACATCACTAAGGGTTTTTAATTGGTAATGTGTTATACCTCTAAAAATGTACACATCTTAAAAAAAATATTAATCATTTTTAAAATAAAAATCACGAAAATAAGATTTATTCTGCTGATACCATGGTTGTATGCAAATATACTATAAACACGAAAAAAAGTTTGATGTAAAGGATTATTAAGATTAATAGAATAATACTGAACCTGATCCTTGTCTTTTTTCTCCGCAAATACAACAACTATAGGATCCAAACCACGAACTTTAGGTCCAGAGGTCCACCTGGAGTAGAAAATCTTTCAACTACATTATTTAGGTTCATTTTTTCTACTTTTAAAGGAAAAATCGTTTTTTAAGACATTAATATGAGAATTACGTTGTAAACCGCAATCCTGTGAATTGTATAATGCCACTGTAATATGTTAACATGTTATATACATACATGCAATAAATATTACTTACTTACTTAATCAAAAACTATTCTTAGGGAGGTTTCTTTAAACCTCAACTGATAAGCTATGATGGGTTATTAGGATATGATGAATATATCTTTAATTTTCTCTAGATGAAAATTGGCAAACCAGCAGCTTTCAGTAAAGCTTTCAGTGGATTTTTAAAGCTCCATAACAGCAACTGTTTTACTTTATTTAAGGTTGAAATTCTTTAAGTAGTAAATTGAATTTTTCAAATAAAAACAAATTTTTTAATTTGATTACAATACTATATTTTTGGAAGGGGGGGGGGGAGAGGGGAGGGGAAGAGGGAAGAGTGGTTGGGGGCCCTGGGTTAAAAATGATTTAAAGTTTAGTTGTATTAGAGAGGATAAAAACAGTGGAATATATTGGGTTCCGTTGCCTGAGGATATTTTATGAATATTATTACTTGATTTTAAACAATAATATTTTAACAGTGAAAAAACGTAGAATATTTGCAATACAAAGAATAAAACATAATTATTGGTTTTGCAAAAATACAATGAAAGCAAATGTTTAGGACAAAAATTTATTCTTTCCCTTGAATGTTTGGAACGAAAACACAAACGTTTTGCAATTTACCTGATTTACAATTTTAACAACAGTTTTATCTTTTAAAGCCCTCATTTTTTTTCTTCTTATATCGTAAAGATAAAAGTTTCTCGAATTTTTTTCTTAGGATTTAAAAAAACTTTGAAAAGTTCATTTTCTGGGGTCCTGTGAGATACCATAAATAATTTGGAACCAATCTTTTTGGGATTTAATGAATTCAAATAGACAGGCAGAATAAAGAGTAAAGAGTGAATCAATTATTCAAAAAAGTTCCGTTTAACCCGCTCTCCGAAGAAAAATGACACAGACCCTTTTGTTCTCAAAATCTCTATCAAAACAAATTTTAACAATTGCTTGCTTGTCTGTGCAGTGGAGTTCAAAAACTCTTTTAGAAAAGTCTCAGCTGAAAAACTTATGAATTGTTGAGACTCTGGTAACATGGGTTCGATTGAGAGCTTTTTTAAAGAAGAGAGATACTTAAAACTGCGTTTAAAATACGATCAACTCTGAAACTGTAAACCTGTACACATGAGTAAATGTTCCGTCCGTCTCTACTCCCCAAACTGTCCGGAGCAGACGTTTGATATTGTGCTCCAGGAAGTTCTTGTTAACCTCTGGATCCTCTCCAACCTCCTCCTCCATCACGTCCTTCTCAATCCCGTGGAACACAAGGGTATCCTTCTCTTTATCCTCCTTGGGTTTAACACTAAAGTAATATAAGAGTTAGGACTGTTTTGCTAAGAATAGAGATTAAATATATTTTTTAATTTTTTTTTCTTTTTAATCACATAACAACAGTGTGCAAAACTTTTAAATCTTCAGCTTTTAGACAATTCCTTTTCCCCTCTCAACGGTTCAACCGCAGAAGTTTTGCTTCATTTCTTTCAGCGTCATTTGTGCCTTAATTATCTGTTTCAAAGCGTTAAACCCTTTAATTCGCTCCATGTACCTAAGTGCTATCCCAAAACGTTCGCCTTCAAATTGATTAATCTATTATAATATAGATATTAAAATTTGACATCTGTTAGTTCGAACTCCAATTTTTTATATTTTCTGTTTACAAATCCCATACCTACTCGATACTAAGAGCTGACTTGAATAAAAAGAATAGAAAATTAGAATATAAATGTTTGATTAAATTGTCAATTTAAAGTGTTAAAGAAAAGGAATATTTTTATACTTTTTAATAGAAAAAAATGAATATCTTTACAACCTGATGATGTAACCCTTAGATATTTTAAACTCAGACTATTTGACCTAACAGAATTCACAGTTAAAATTTGAATCACAGGTCTACTGCATCAGGTTGCAAAGATACACAGACAAGAAAATTATTATTGCTAGGGTTCAGTTCCTTTGAGCCTACATTAAAAAGATAGAACATACCCTTTCAGTATTAGTTTTTTAACTAAGATAAGAGTATGTTACCCCTGTGGAGTAGTTGAGATTGAATCCTTGTTATTAAACTCCTGAACTGTTCTCTCCATATGATCCAACTCCATCTTAAATTTTTTTAAACATACTGCAGGGTGTCTCAAAATAAACAGAGCAAAAGAGTCCAGAAACTCATTTGTAATGATATTTTCAAAATTAAGAAAATTATATCTATGTAAATTTTCGATTCAATGAATCCTAAACTGGGATATCTAAAAAATATTGGTTCAAGATCATCAAGAGATTGAGATCTTGAGAAGTGTAGGAAGAAAGCAGCATCATCGGAGTGGTACCGGAGACCCCAGCCGCTACCATACCGGAGACCCCGATATTGTCAACGGAGACCCCAAAGTGTTCATCGGAGACCCAAAATAAATAGTTAACATTTTTGAAAATGTAAATTGCTTTTTATGGCATAAAAACCTATATAAATTCATATTGTCATAAATTTTTTAATTTGGATATTATTTAATGCATTTACAAAGAAATCTACAACATTTTTAAAAATTTAAAAATTCTCGTGCGTGTTTATTATCTATACCCTTATTAGACTTTACACCCTCCGCCCTCCCTCTCTACCTGTCTCCTCAATATTCAACATTTTAACATTTTATACAATAACATTTAAAATTTTAAAATATTTTTACTATTTTATTTGGGGTCTCCGATGAAAACTTTTGGGTCTCCGTTAAAAATGCTGGGTTCTCCTGTAGAGTGGCGGTAGGGTTCTCCGGTGGGACGGGGGTGTGAAATTTATATTGTATCATTTGTTAGATAAAGGCTGTAGTCTATAAGTGAGGGTAAAGCTATTAAATCGAAAATATTAGATCTTTTATTGTACCGACATAATTTTACACGATCAGAAATATTAGATCTTTTATTGTACCGACATAATTTTACACAATCAGAAATTAAAAGTAATTTACTAAATATTTTGCGGTTTTTTTTTTGCTCACTGTTTTGCAGAGAATTTTTGGCCAATTTGAATAAAGTTGCAAATAAACTTACTGTAAAATCGTACAAAAACAAATTGTCTCACAGAGTTTTCTTTATTTATTAAATTTACTCTTTCTAAGTTGGAAACTTTAGAAGTCTAACTGAGAGCTCATTAAATAGGAAATTTTACCTAGATATTTAAATTTTTTTTTTTTCAATTTTGACAATACGACATTAATTAATATATATAGTTGGCTTGTTTGTCTGTCATGTTTGTTTGTATTCAATAAACGCCAAAACGCCTGAACAGATCGGGCCTAAACTTTTTGTAGTGCGCATATAACCCCTCTGGAAATATTATAGCTGGTCGGAAATAAGAAAAATCTAGCTGTGAAAACAGAAATCTTCCAAATATAAGATTGTAGTTTTCTATTATGTACGAAAAGAAATTGTTGCAGGAAAACACTTTTTAAAAGCTAATATTATTTCAAGAAAGACAGTCTAGCCAATTATATATATTCATTCAATCCTACCGCCAGGGATTCTGCTTCATGTTTTCTCTGGTCTACAGTTTTCTTCAGCTCTTGTACTGTCATCTCCAACTAGAGAAATATTCAACTTGATCTCTTCTCTTTGACACTTTATGCTTATCAATGTAGTACAAACACATACATAAACAGTTTCTCAATAATTTATCATTAATTTTCTATTTTTTTAATTTGATAAAATTCGATTTCCGTTATCCTTACTTACAATATTAAAATATTTTGTCTTTGAGTCCTAGAGAAAATAGTATTTCGTGAGAATTCCAAGTTTCTGAGAAATCATTTACCAGGATACATTTACAAGGATAGAGTTTACCAGGATACAGTTTACCAGGATACAGTTACAAGAATAGAATTTACCAGGATACAGTTACAAGGCTACAGTTTACCAGGATACAGTTTACCAGAATACAGTTTACCAGGATACAGTTTACCAGGATACAGTTTACCAGGATACAGTTTACCAGGATACAGTTTACCAGGATACTGTTTACCAGGATACAGTTTACCAGGATACAGTTTACCAGGATGCAGTTTACCAGGATACAGGTAACCAGGATACAATTTACCAGGATACAGGTAACCAGTAGACGATCTGGGCTATAATGTCAAAAAACTAATGGAAGTGAAGACCTTGTCTAGTTTTGTTGAACGGATAGATACAGATGAAGATACAATGGAGGACTTCCGGGAGTCAGATTCTGAATCAATCTGAGAACTCATCTTAGCTGCTGAACCCGGAGCTGACGGAGACAATGTTTTTTTTTTTGCAGTTTATCGGAGACAAAACCTTCCTGGCAGAGTTGGAGCTTGCAGCTTTTCTCTCTTAGATCTCCAGACCATACAAAATATATTTGCTTGGATACTAAACTAGGCCTAATCTAGATAAATAAGTTTTCTTCTAAAATATTGTTTATCAGACTCAAAACCAAACATTTTTTTACAACTTGAAGAAGTTAAGATTATTGTTTTATTACTTTTACGACTGAGTTATTATACAGAACTTTAAAACTTCAGAATATTTTTCTCCCTTTTCTTTCTGTTTTGTCACTTTTCTTATTATGATATCCAAAACTTGATCGATTTAAAAATGACGAGAATTATAAAGACTAGTTTTGTCACTTCTGTTTTCAAGATGTCTTTAGCTAGATTCTTTTTATGGAATAATGTATCTCAAGATATTTTCTTTCACTTTTGTATGATATCAGAAACATTTTTTTTAATATTTGAACCTAAACACTTAAATACTTGAATCCTTTCCATTCAAAACTAATTTCCCCTATTAACTCAAACCAATAGGTTCCCCTTGTAATGTAGAATTTACGTGTTCTGGCCGATCAAGGATCAGGGTTTAGGGAACATGGACCATGAATCATGGATCAGGGTTAAGGATTGAGGGTAGAGGGTGTGTTTTCACGGAGGACAAGGTTTAAACTGGAGGTTTAGATTTAGGTTCCGTGGAAGAAATAAAGTTTACATTTACTTCCCGGAGTCCGGATCTTGCTCACTGTGATCTAGACAGAAATCAAACTAATCCAACTTTATAGCTACGACGGACTTAGCTCCTCAAGTTTTGACTTTATGCACAAATATAATATATTTATAGTTGTGGAGAACACCAGCTAATATATTTATAGTTGTAAAGAACACCAGCTAATATATTTATAATTGTGAAACACCAGCTAATATATTTATAGTTGTAGAGAACACCAGCTAATATATTTATAGTTGTGAAACACCAGCTAATATATTTATAGTTGTAGAGAACACCAGCTAATATATTTATAGTTGTGAAACACCAGCTAATATATTTATAGTTGTGGAGAACACCAGCTAATATATTTATAGTTGTAGAGAACACCAGCTAATATATTTATAATTGTGAAACACCCGCTAATATATTTATAGTTGTAGAGAACACCAGCTAATATATTTATAGTTGTGGAGAACACCAGCTAATATATTTATAGTTGTAGAGAACACCAGATAATATATTTATAGTTGTGAAACACCAGCTAATATATTTATAGTGTAGAGAACACCAACTAACATATTTATAATTGTGAAACACCAGCTAATATATCTATAGTAATATATTTAAAGATTAATTATTAATAAAGATGAAGATAAAATGAATTTGTATGGTCCCCTTTTAAAAATTTAATTACTATCGTGATGTTCCTTTTTCACTAAAACAAGTCAAATCAAGTCAAATTCTAATAACTTTAGACCATCATTTTTGGGATTACATTTTGGACAGAAAAAAAGAGACTATGTGATTTTTTTGTTTAAAAAAACTCAAATAACTTTTTTTCCCCCACTCCCCATTGCACAATATATGACTGTATGAAATCTAAATTTAGAAGACACAATTTTAGTGTTTTTCTCATCACTGGACCCACTGTGCAACTGTAAAAGAACAAACAAAAGATTTCACAAATACAATAAAGTTTATTTAAGTAATTAAGTAAACATGGTGACATGATAATTGTTAAAAAAAAAAAGAAGCCTGAATTACAAAATAATAATAAGATTACGTACTCTGTACACTGTACAGATGGTTAGTTTGACACAAGAGACGTGCAATCATGTACAGTGCTTTGGTACACTCAAGTGTTCTTGTACATATCTGTACTGCTTGGCTTTTGCACTTGTACACTTGTATACAGATTTATTTATGTACCCGTACACTGTGCATTGTACAGGTTTGTCTGAGAACTCCGTAATGTACGGTTTTCTTATACACGATCCATCTTTCTCAACTGCTCTTCAACACATTCAGCTGATGCTTCAGATTCATCTGTAGCCTACAATTATATATCATTATATAATTATATCAATTTTTAATTATTTTATAACTCTGTAAGACTTTAAAGTTACATCTTTTTATCCTGTAAATATATCCTCTAGGGGACTGCAAAGGAAACATGAAAGGGATCTAGAGAAATTGATATAAAACTGAGTCAAATTTATACGAAAATTCATATGTATACAATTTTGTATAAAAGTAGTAGGTTTAAACAGATGTCCGACGGACGTCACCATAACTTCCACCAATGGCAGTGCGGTTTACTGGTCACGTGATACAGACGGACACAGGTGACCAATATACTGCACTGCCATTGGAGGATGTTCTGGTCACTTGATTTTCAGTTTCAGATTTAATTGTATACATATGAATTTTCGTATAGATTCGACACAGTTTTACATCAATTTCTCTAGACAGGAACATCAGATATAACTTTCAAGGGTCACAATCAAGAGCTAAAGTTATTATCTTGTAATAATAATAAGTGAATATCATGTAATAATATCATTATTTTATTTTATTAAAAATTAAATTATTTTATTTATCATGCAATAAAATCATCATGTAACTATATAATCATGTAGTTATATCATTAAGTAATTATATCACTGTGTAATTATGTAACTAAATCGTCATGTAATTGTTTCATTGTGCAATTTGACATGTAATCATATTGCCATGTAATTATATGATTCTGTAATTGAATAGTCCAGTAACTGCATCCTGATCTGATTATGTAATTTTGTAATCCTATTAATGTAATTATGTAATCTAGTACTTATCAGATGTTTACGTTTCCCAGGAAAATATACAAACTCTGCATACTTCACCTTTTTCCAAGTTAGCTTTATTGTTTTTTTTTATTCGGAGGAAATAATTCCTATATCTTTGCAGCCTATTTGGTGTTAACCTTTGATATTTCGGAATTTGACCAATTAAAGTTTGAATATCAAAGGTCACCTGGAGATCCTGCTTATCAGTCCAGTTAGTCTAAACTTTAGAACCCATTTTACCGATTTAAAGTGTTGATTTTTCGTACTTCCTCTTTTATGATTTTTTGTTTGACCATGTTTTTAATGAAATATAGTCTCTTATGCTATTTTTGACGGATTTTGAATGAATTTGAATAAACAAATCTAACACAAAATAATCCGATAAAGACAGTTAGTTAGTAGTTTTAGTTAGTTTTACGTAAGGTCTACGACATCAGGTTGCAAAGATATAAGAATAAGATAATTCAAATTTGATGCAAATGTTCCCTTCCTTATCCTGGTTCTATAGTCTAAATCACCTGTATGAATTTCTGAACCCCAACAAGACATTTTTTCAAAGCATCGAAGGATGAGGAGTAGAGCATTTTCTTTTTAATCTTGGCTGAGTCCGGACACCAGGACATCAAGAACAGTTTCTCCTTTTTACTTGCCTCCGAGGTACCCTGACACTGGTGGGTGTACTCAAAATCAAATACTCCATACCTAAACACAATAATATAGGAAAATGTAGAATTAAATTAGAACATTTATTAATCTACAAAACGTCTGTTTAAAGGGACTGTAAGCGAAATTTCCAGTATCCCTTCATGCCAAGATGCCCGATTTACAACGATAGAATTAAAGCTTTGTCTGATTATATATGAATCAGATATTCATGTTTTTGTTTCTTTAAACTGTTTATTTTCATTTGCGGTTTCTCTGCGAATTGAACACTGTTCGAGTCAGAAAAACAATAGTATCTTTCACATTTTTTACCAGATTAAGGTTTCAAGGGTACCGGTTTAAGTTGAAGAGAAGTGGTTTAACTTATTCTACGTAAGTATAGTTCGAAGACGTCTCGCTAGTCGCTTTTAGATCAATTTGATCCCAGTTTATGTTAGCTATAAGCTTCCGACCTGGGATAGTTCCGAATGTTTGTATCTTTATGTTAAGAAGACCTGCTTTTCATTTAACTAAACAAAGTGTCCAGGTTTGCTGTTTACATAAACTTTCAGTTCTCCCTGTAATTGTTTATTATTTATTCTAAAGTTCAACGGCATTAAAAAAAACCGTTGTATTATATGAAATTATTGCTTTGTTTCCATATTCCTTTTAACCTTTAGCCCTGCGTGTTACTCAACTGTGTGGAAAGTATGTCACTTTGTAGAGATGACTCATGAATAATAAAGATTTCTCAGGGACAGACTACAAACTACATTTTTAGGAGTCCAGACTACAGAATACAGACTACAGACTACAGACTACAGATTACAAACAACATTTTTTAGAGTCCAGACTACAGAATAAGACTACAGACTACAGACTACAGACTACAAACAACATTTTTAAGGGTCCAGNTTTTCTGAACTAAATCTTTGCAACCAGACAACATACTACAGACTACAGAGTATAGACTATAGACCACATACAAAAGAATGAAATCAAATAAAGGAAACGAGCAGGAATAAAGTAAAAATTAAAGAAGGAGAGGAAGCCACGTCACAATAATAAGAAAGTTTTGACAGAAATCTGAAAAACAAAATTTGCATCATGGATATTGTTGGAACTTTAGGGTGGGGGGAATACTGAACTGTGGGTTTATATATCTGATGCATGTTGTATATATATGTATATATGTATGTATATATGTATATATGTTGCATAAATATTATTCTATATGCAACATATATACATTATATATATTTTGTTTGTATATTGTATATTTTACACACTGGAGAGAAGCAGGCTGTGTATTGGATAAAAACTAGAGCAGGATGGAACTGTACAGTGTACAGTGTACATACATATATATTCAAGACCTGTACATAAGTAAGTTAAATCTCTTTTAAAAGATGAATCATGATGTAAACAATAAAATAAGTAGAGAGGCAGTACCTATTATTAGAAATTTACCTAAATACTTTAAAAATACTAAAAAGTAAAATAATACCAAGATTATCACGAAAAAAAAATAATTATAAAACAATATGAGTAAACCAAACATCTGATCAATGCTAGTGTAATGCAAGATAGTAATCACAAAGGAACGAAGTTTTTGCCCCAAACTCTGATTTTATAATTTTCCAAGTATAGACCTTAGATATCTCAAACTATGAATTCTTGTAGCTAAAATTGTGTAAATTTAAAACATAAAATGGTTACACCATCAGGTTGCAAAGATATAGGGATTAAGATTTGATTTGTGGAAAAGAATCAAATCCTTTAGATAACATCAAGAGTATGGTTTATACACTATCATCTTTACTTTAGATAACATCAAGAATATGGTTTATACACTATCATCTTTACTTTAGATAACATCAAGAGTATGGTTTATACACTATCATCTTTACTTTTGTTGAAAATAGAAGATGTTGATTAAAAATAAGCATTACTTTCGGACCACGGTCAAAATGATTTAAATTTATAATCAAAGATATGAACAGAAACATAAGTTACAAGTTCTCCTACTTTTTGTAATTAAAGACTTTAATTGATATTTTCAAGTAATCCACTATTTATACCGGCTTCACCGATTTACAAACATGAATCCATTAAAGCTTTGCATGATAAAGAATAGATGAGTTATCCATGTTTTCCTTCATGAAATCTGATTACTGTTAATTGTGGTTTCTCTATAAAAAGTGACTTGAAGATTTTGCTCAGGCAGAAACAAATGAGTTAATTGTCAAAATAAAACTCCTCTTTTGTTAGAAAAACGAAGATATCTTCTCCTTTTTTGGTCAGATAAAGGTTAAAGGGTTGTTAGATAAAAGGACAATTGTGATTTATTCTACAGTCCCTTTAAATACTAAGTATTCAAGCTTTTATCTAACAGGAAGGTATCTTGAATTATATATTTTAGGGGAATAAAAATCCCCCCGTCAAAGAAAGGGATTTATAAAGCAGAAAGATGAAGCAGGGGGATTTAAGACGATGGAAAGGGGAGGGGAGATATACACTATACAGTTCATATTCTCTCTTTACAAATTGTTTATTTCCAACTTTAGTTTAGACAAAGTAAAGATCAAATATAATCTATTTTAAGTCCGGACCTGACATCTTAAAAACTAAGCAATGAATACACTTTTTGCATTAAAAAGTCATATTTTCTTGCTTTTCGAAGATAAATTCTAGTTCACGTTTTTGCAGCTAAGGTGAGAGATAATATGCAAGAAACTGGGATATAGAGGAAACAAAGAGCTCGGTAGAAACATATAAATATAATATTATCCTTTGCTAATTAATTAGTTTTCCAGTTACATTTACATATATACATTTTTAACCGGTTTAGGTTTAAACTATAAGACCGGTATAAAGAGTATTAATACCTGCAATCATCAGGTCCTGATCCGGTTAGATCCTGGAGAAAATCAGAATAGTTGGAGTTCCTCTCTCCGATCTTCTCCACGGCGATGATCTTCTCGTCCTTGATATAGAAGACGAGGTATCTGTAACTCTTCTTCTTCTTGATATCATCGTATTTAATCTTAACCTCCTCTGCCACCTTTACTCCGCTAGCCATCTTGTATAGGATGAGTGTGCCGGGAGGACGTGTATAGGAGGAGAAGGAACGGCCGACGGAGTCTAAGAAAGGAAAGAAAGCCGAGATACCTATACCGGCTTCAAATTCTCTCCATTTTCAGGTTTCTGGGGGGAACTTTCATATTTTGAAATTTTAAAAGATATCTTAAATCCCAACGGGAAAAAATGGATTAAAATAAATTTGGTCTCGATTTTTTTTTACCCTGAATAAAGAAGNTATATTTCTGGTGACCAGTTGAAATTACGTCTACCTAAATTTCCTTCAAGGGATCATTTTCATTTAATCATTCTCATTTAAACCCCCCCCTTGTTCCCATTTCCCCGACAATTCCCCTCTGATCCTCCCTTCCCCCCAGTCATATGTGCTTTCCCCTAGTCGACCTATAATTAGAAATTCCCCACATGGAATGGAATAAGAATCGGTACTCCGGAGGAATAATTCCACCCCTGGATATTCTTTACAAAACTTAATTAAAATTGTATTATTTTTAGTGACAAAACTTGTAAATATAAAATTCTCATGAAAAAGTAACAAAAAAGTCTTGAAATTTAATTTTTTCATTTTAACAAGTATTTTTTTATTTTGATAATACTAAAATGTTTAATGTTTTACAATACAAGAGAATTTTTATTGTGATTTTATGTGGAAGGGTCAAATATTCTAGAATATACGGGAAACTCTGAGAATACAGGTCTAGAATATATATATACCCGGAGTCACAGTGCGCAATCTCAATAGTTAACTCAGTGATTTGACAGCTAACAAGTATTCAAAACAGATTAAAAATGAACTTTGAAGGGTTTCAAGATTTGATGAGAAGGATTGCTAGGACCTGGTATGAAAGAGCTAAAGTGGAGGTATATAATGATAATTTCACAAAAACCTTTGTAAAAACGATGATTGTAAATGTCAGATAGTATCATGAAATCCTGGTATATCTTGAAACCAAATTATGCTCTGTTTATCTTTATATTATATGCTTATTTATATATACAGTATATATGTTAAGTACAGGGTTATTAATATATACAGTATATATGTTAAGTACAGGGTTATTCATATATACAGTATATATGTTAAGTACAGGGTTATCCAAAAAGGATGAGACTTCAGTGACACCTGGTTATCTGCAGCTGTAATTCACTATACATAATGCAAACTAAAAATTCTTTTAGATTTACTGAAAATTTTGAAATAATCAGGTTTCAAAGATATAGAAAGTTAAGTTTGTGGCTAGTATTCTATTTCTTATCATATTAATATCAAAACATTTGTCTGGAAACACTGAATTCAAAAATGTTGAAATCATAAACATCGTTAATTATTAATTGAGATTTCTTTTTTATTTTTTTCTCCTTAATTTTTTGCTTTTCGATAAAATCGTTTCACTCATAATAAATGGCGATAACAATTAAACTCATAGATTATTCTCTGGTTTATTTTTAACCTTGAAATGAAAAATTGTAAACAAATTTCTGCCACAACTCTGATTTTCTAATCCCTATATATTTCCAACCCAAGGCAGTAGACCTATGATATTTCAAACTTTGAATTCATTAGATAAAATAATCTAAGTTTGATAAATCAAGAGGCTGCGAAGATATAGGGATTAGAAAATTTGAGACAAAACTCAATTTTTATTTTTTTCTAACCTTAATTTTGACTGTGTTCTAGATCCTAGAGATGGACTACGTGAACGAGTATCTTAAGGTGTCCCCTTTCATTGCTAAACAGACCAAGGAGAACGAGATCGCGTACGAGCGGCTGATGGACGTTAGACTGAAGCTCGTGGATCTATCCTTCGAGATAGATAAGAACCATGACGCCTACATGAGATTCATGCAGCAAGCACTGAATTCACCAGATCTGAAGATGCGGATAGGAAAGGTAGGACAGATGGGAGAGGTGTCAAAAGGAGAAAGAATTAAAGGGACTGTAAGTGTAATTTTATGTGACCTTCAATCCATGCAAAGATGGGAATTCCAGATTTACAACGGTGCACATAAAAGCTTCGTTTGAGCTGAAAACTTTAGAATGGTGCGATATCGAGATTAATGCTTGATCCTCTCTTTTTCTTAATATCGAGACTAACCTAATCTAGTACTTGTAATCTGAAAAGTTTATAAAATTCCACCAATCAGAGTCGCGAATAAGAACTTATGAAGCCGATAAATTTGAAATTTTGCGCGCCATTTAAGATTAATTTACAGAAACGGGAGGGACTCTCTAATTTAAAAAAACCAGTTTTTGATTTTTCTCTACTTTATCCAAGAAAGAACGGTTTAAGAAGAAAATCAAAAGTGTGTCCATTGGATACTCAGATTAAGTAATCGGGATTAAGAATATCTCATTCTAAAGTTTTCAGCTCTGGTCAAGTGTAGAACATATAGGAAAGTCTTTTAATTTTCCCCAAGACTTTGGATCAGGGTTGGATGTAGAATCTTCAATCAGGAACGTATACAGAATTTTTAGGGGCGGGCCCCCATATGAACCCCAAGCCATATATACGCCCCTGTCTTTAATTCCTTTCAGCCATCTATCTTTTCATAAAAGTGAAAAACATTTGTTTAGCCTCTACGTCCTGAAGAGCGGAACTTGATTGATCTGGAGCTGATGATTATGGAGCAGGTCGCAGACTGGGAGCTTGATGTAGGAAAGGTGGAGCCAGAATCAAGTAGGTTTATAGAGTAGGTTCACAATTTATTGAAACTATGTCCTAGTAAATATTTACTTCTTGTAATAGTTAATAACTAATTAAAATATGAGTCAGCATTGTGTAAAATTTTGTTATTTAACTTTTGATGCAATCCATTTAAAATCAAAGAAATTGCGTTTTTTGCCACAAACTTTGGTTTTCTGAACTAAATCTTTGCAACCTGTTGGTGGGAACCTTTGATATTTCAAAATTAGATTATTTGATCTAACAGAATTCATACTTTGAAATTGGGATTAGAAAATCAGAGTTTGTGGCAAAAACTCAATTCCTTTGATTCAGAGTTGCAAAAAACTTTTTTTTATAAGAAATGTTTGTTAATGTAGATCGTGTAAAAATCCTATGCTTTTCAGACTGGGAGAAGGTTCAGGATCTAGTTGTTACTCTACCCAATGATTCAACCCAAACTATCAGAATCTCAGCAGAACCACAGAGAAGGTTAGAGTTAATACTATAACAGGATTTTAAGGAGATTAAAAAGGACGTAATTTCAAGTGGAATTTCGTTTTGAGAGTGATATATGCAATTCACAACGGTACCCTTGAAACCTTCGTCTGATTGAATCGGAAATTGGAGAACTCTAAAAATGAAAAACCCTACAAATAAAAGACCAGTTGAAATTACGTCTACCTAAATTTCCTTCAAGGGATCATTTTCATTTAATCATTCTCATTTAAACAAACCTTTCAAAATACAACAAACTATTTTTTCAGATCTTGGTTTGGGTTTTGTCCCGTCTCCATGAAGATCGGGAGCTTGAAGATGTGTGGAGGATGCAAGATGGTCGGATACTTTGGGAAGGATGAACAGAAGAAGGATTGGACAAACCATAAACAGATTTGCAAGGCTGTCACAAATCTTATGAAGAGATTCAATGTCGGACATATTACTGAAAAGGTAACAAGTTTTCAAACTTAAAATTATTTTTACAAAAATAATATTGCTGCAAATGAATAAGAATTATCATCTAGAAAAAAATAAATATATATGTTTTCATTCATGTGAATTACCATTTTCAATGGAAAGACGAGATAGTTTTTTTAAAATTCTATTTTATCATTTTTGGATTCTTTTTGTCTAACCCTGAAAATAAACTGAAAGCTGTGTATTTCTAGTTAAACGGTGATCAATTAATCTCCGCCTTGTCGACAGAGCTGGGACGGTCCTTACTCCAGGAGGAGATGGACCTAGTCAACTTCCCCAGGGTGTGCGCTGATTGTGGGAAGGGAGGAGCTGTCCAGGTTAGCAATATTTTATATCAATATACTGAGAGCTGTCCAGGTTAACTTTATTGTATATCAATATACTGAGAGAAGGGAGGAGCTGTCCAGGTTAACAATATTGTATATCAATATACTGAGAGAAGGGAGGAGCTGTCCAGGTTAACTATATTGTATATCAATATACTGAGAGAAGGGAGGAGCTGTCCAGGTTAACTATATTTTATATAAATATACTGAGAGCTGTCCAGGTTAACTATATTCTATATCAATATACTAAGAGAAGGGAGGAGCTGTCCAGGTTAACTATATTGTATATCAATATACTGAGAGCTGCTTAAACCGAGGGATTTAGGTGAATATTTTAGGATGTCGACTTTTATTTACAAACATATTTGATTTTCCGTTGTTTTGAAGATATTTTTCTTCTCTCTATTTTTTTAAATGCAAGCTCTTTTTAAAAACTTCTATAAAACGATTTTTATTATTTTTTACTGATATACATCGGCAATTTTAGTTTATAATATCCGGAAGTTTGTAAAAAATATATTCATCTAAATGTATATTATTTTATTAAAAATCCGCGAAATATTTGGTTTTTTTTGTTTACAAAGAGAACATGTTCACAATTGAAATAGATGTTAGGGGCGTAGCGCTTTAAAAGCCTAGTAACTCAATAAACCCTATACTTGGTTAAAAGTTTAAAGTTGTGTAGGCTGTCTTGTATATTGAAAGTTTAGATTTACAAGCAAAGCTGTGTTCCCAAGCTAACTATTCATAATAGAGAGTTGCACTGCATTGCATACTCTTGTATAACATATTATCAATTTAGTATTGAAGCATGAAAATATAATCTATTCAGGACGGATTACGGAACTGCTCCAGGTGCAACTGTGTCTCCTGGTGCAGCAACTGCCTGGAGCAGGGTCGAACTAAGCATGAGGAATGGTGTCATCTTCTCAAAACCTCTCTGGAAGATTACAAACATGAGAAGAGTTTGGGTCACCAGGTTCAGAAATATTGTCCAATTAGTCAAGCCAAGTATAAACCTCTGCCTGCAAGTATAGAGATACTGTTTGAGAAGGATGTTGCTAAACTAGTCTCTAATAAACTACCAGGTGAGATACTGTTTGAGAAGGATGTTGCTACCAGGTTAGAGTACCGTCACTCAAGATATCTAAAATGAGACGAGCAAATGTTTCTTCTTTGAACCATTAAGTTTGACTGTATCGCAGTAGTTTTGATAATAATTGATTAAAACCTAATCGTGTCTCACCGGATTCATAACACTGTATTCCTTTAAATACCATTTAAGAGCTTTATATAAAAACCCTTAAAAGTTAAGTTTACAAACAGGTTTTCTGGTTAAACGGGTTAAATATTTATTTGGATCAAACATTGAAAAAGTGATCAGAAATTATACAACATTTTCCTTTTTTTGCTGTGGCACGAGGGTTATGATACTCATCCATCGTTACCTTCCTCCCCAACCGCCATATAGATTGATTAATGTATTTTTGTTTTGTTCAGGTTACCAGGAGAGTGAACTACGTTATCTAACCTTCCTCTATACTTGTCCTCTAACTATCCTATATGCTGCTGAGCAGGCAGGACTAGCTCAAGGAGATATTCAATCAGTATCCTCTCTTACCATTCATCTAGTCGGAGCTAGAGTAGCGGAGATCAGGCATCTGGTTGGCTGGGAGATAATTGCTCTAAGATTACCGAACCTCGAGACTTTAAACCTGGTTTTTATCGGAGATGAAGTTGTCACAGGAACATTTCCTCCAACCTTCTCCTATAGGAGTAATGAAGCTCAGAAGGACCGCCCTAATTTAATGGTAAATTATTAAGAACCTTTTAAATAAAAAACAAAACCTGAAATGATTTGTAAAGGAACTGATTTCTTTCCACAAACTCTGGTTTTCTAATCACTATTTCTTAGCAATGAAATATCATAGACAATTAATTCTCTCAGATCAAATAGTCAAAGTTTGAAATATAAAAAGTTTACACCATCAGACTGCAAAAATATAAGGATTAGCAAATTTTAGTTTGTGGCAAGAACTCAGTTCCTTTTGCCAAGAGTGACAGGAGAAAAGGCTAAAATATAGTTAATTAGATATATTTCTAATTTAGGTGAACTATAGTTTTGCTCCGCCCCAGCTTTATCAGGATTACGTGAAGACTCCTGGTTATGTCCAACCAGATATAGTTGCTGCTCTCGATTGTGGATTCAAGTTCTATCCGTCCTGGGATCCATGTATCCCACATCTTCTTCCAGCTCCAGGAGTACCTTGTGTTTTTACAGAATTTACGCTTCAGGTAGATGGAATAAAGATGAAGATAATCTTTCAAAATTAGTTGTTAACGATTTTTGAATTAATGGGAACCTCTTGCAAATTTTTATGAAAAAATTAATATTTTCGCCAATTTTTTAATCTTCATTTTTTTCACAAATCGCTTAAATCTCCAAATCAACGTTTTAACTATAAAAAAAAGTCACCGAATGCTGAAATATTAAATATAAAAATTTGATTTATATTTTAGGATACTCGGGACAATCTTCAGAAAGTGGAAACTCTAGTTCCAGATGTTGAAGTATTGATTCCACCCAGGTAATGATATAGGATGTAAACCATTGAGAATATACAAGATTACCCACAAATGATGAGACTTCAGAGACGATTGTACAGAATTTATACTGTCTGTTTCCTTATATTCATGATTCCATTCAACTTAAAAACTTCTTTCTCTCTTTGCCAGATCACTAAAATAACATATTTAACGACAACATTCAAGGCAACAGACTTATTTTGAACTTGTGATCGTCATATCTGAAGAATTTAAAGAAGTTTTTACAGTCTCATCCTTTGTGGGTAGACCTGTAAGTAAGCTGGGTAAGTAGAATATAGATTTTATAAAATGAAATTTTCTTCAAATTGCATGGAATGATAGCCTTTTTTATAGTTGTCAGAATGCCTTGTAATAACTGATACTTGCTAAAGAAATTGTTCACATTTACCTTAAAATCTCATTTTCTTTGCAACCTGATGGTGTAAACTTTAATTTATTTAAACTTTGATAATTTTATATAAACTGTGCTTATGAAAACCTATGCAAAGTATACAGTAAGATTCACGGTTGACCATATGAATTCGTTTACAACATTAGAGTTTACTTTAAAGATTGTAAACAATACCTTTAAGACACAACCCCCCCCCCCCCCGAAGAAAAAAATGTAATCCCTCCTACACAAATTCCTGATTCTAATTGCTTCTGTTTACGGCATTTAGTAAACAAAAGTAGGCTTGACGTTACATGAATCAGCATATTTTAATAGATTTTTCCTCTGGTCACGTGTCAAGTTTGGTTTCAGTAAATAAAAAAGTAAATATTTCGCATTTTTGTTTTACTGTATATTTTCCAGGAGGAATCCCTTCTGCTCTCGGAGACCTGTACGCTGCAGCGATAAAACCGGAAACTACGCCAAGAATAGCGTAATATTCTCAAATGATTATATTTCCGTGATTCGTCGGAAAATGTAGTTTTAAAATTTTATATTTTTGCTAATAAATATTGTTAAATATACGTTCTATATCGTTATCACGCATGTTTAAGATTAACCGTATATTAAAGTATATTAAAGTAAAGAAGCATGACAGTTGAGTATTGAAGTTCACAGACGAATACAGGAAACATAAACGCAAAGGAAAAATTGGAATTGTAAAATTTTGCGAATTTTTGTTTCTTGCATTAGAGATCATTGAAACTTTATATTAGAGATAGATTAAAAAGCATGAGAATTAAGAAATTTGACTTTAAACATAGATATACAAGATGATTAAACAACAATTTAAGTTTTAATAGTTTGAAACGCGACAATCTTTATTATTTGAAATAAGATATATAAATAATTTCTGAGAAATACCAGGGAACAGGAATAAAGGGAAATGAAATGGCGCTGGTCTGGCATGAGAAAGCCAGTCGCACTGCTTTGCAGACGAGTTCGGTATTCCTTACACACACTCTTTTAGTACAGACACACAACATGACTACAGTCAAGGAAATTGCAGAACAATATCGTCAATTATAATTAAACTTGAAAAACGAGTAGTTTATTGTAAACTTTAATCAAATTATATTCTTTCCATGAAAATTTGGCTTTATAGTGTTGACTTAAATATGTAAATAATATATTACATTTATATTAAAAAACTTATTTTTAAGTAAACAATAAACAATAAACAAATGTACTCTCCTAGACTGTACATTTACCGAGATTCGTGTGTCCTGTATATACCTACAGTACACGTCTTCGGTTCGGTATTCCTTAAACACTCTTCTGGTGCAGACACACACACGTGACGTTTCCGCCCCCTGAAGGTTACCCACACAGAATGAGACTGTTAAGAGGACATAAAACTCATTCTAAATGAGATTCCAAGATTAAATTAAGTACTCTGCCTTGGCTTATTAACTGAATCAGCAAAGAAAGAAATAAGTTCACAGTTGCAGAGAATTGCTTAAAATAGGAAACATACAGTAAATATACCGTACAGTCGTCTCTGAAGACTTATCCCTTGATCTAACAAAACTTAAAATTATTCATTTACAGTTTATTGTGACACCCTGTAATATCAAAGTATCAGAGTGAGATTCAGATTCGATATCAACCTTAAAATCTCTGAGTAAATTCATCCTTCATTGATTATCCTTCTCCCTCAGACCAGACGTATTAACCAAACTAACTACTGTTCTCTGGTGCACCTGACAAAAATTCCCAGATGTGAAACATATTTTTTTAGGAAGCATTCGGGTAAAACTAGATTAATTAAAACTAGATTAATTACGCAATTTTGACATTTTAATAATTATTTTCCTAAATTTGACTGTTTTTATGGACATTTTTGCCTTTTTCGGCCATTTTCAGCAAATTCGCCAAGAACTCAGTCAATATTTAAGTTTTTTGAAAGTGAAATATATTTTTGATTTTAAATTTTGATAGTAAAAAGATGAAAAAAAAGTTTTTAAAACCTGTAAAAATCATTTAAAAAAAAATCGTATTTGAGGTAGTTTCACCCTAATAAGCGTAGGAATTTGGGAACTTTTTTTCAGGGGCACATTACTCTTAACAATTCATAAAGATAGAAGTATTGGTTTTATTTTGTCTGTCAGCCAAAACATCCATTAAATACAAATAAATAGTTAAATAAAAATAAATGATACATGATTGAGATTTAAGGCCTGAATGATTTCTGTCTGTAGTTATGACACTAATGTTTATATGAAGGTATAATACTAGACTAGAGACAGAGAAAACATGGTTTCTCTAGCTAATACAATATCTACAATTTATACGAGAATTCAGGTAAATCAGGAATAATAAATAATTACTTATTAAACCCGAAAGATTTGAAATCATTAAAAGAATCCTGGAAAGAGTTGTGGGCTGGGGCGTACGGTGCAGGGGCGGGAGTGTAGGACGCTTTGGGGGGAGCGTAGGGAGCAGGAGCATAGGAAGCCGGGGCTGGAGCATATCCGGCTGATTTCTCTGCTCCACAATGCACGTTGTTCTTGTAGTCGCAGGTTCCAATATATTCATTAAATATGGTTCCGTATCCACAGTGGAAACTATCCTGCTTTCCATCAGCATGGCAGAAGTGATAAATCTAAATACAGAGAAGAGAAGTAGATCAGGGTATACACGGATATTCAGAGAATACATGAATATACCTTGATATACCCTGTATATCCAGGTACACCCTTATACAGGATATTCTTCATTATATTCAGGTACATCCAGACATTCAAAGTATATCCGAATATTTAGAGAATACCCGGATATTTAAAGAATACCCGGATATTCAGAGAATACTCGATTATTCAGAGAATACCCGGATATTTAGAGAATACCGGGATATTTAGAGAATACCCGGATATTTAGAGAATACCCGGATATTCAGAGAGTACCCGGATATTTAGAGAATACCCGGATATTCAGAGAATACCCGGATATTTAGAGAATACCCGAATATTTAGAGAATACCCGGATATTTAAAGAATACCCGGATATTTAAAGAATACCCGGATATTCAGAGAATACTCGATTGTTCAGAGAATACCTGGATATTCAGAGAATCCCCGGATATTTAGAGAATATCCGGATATTCAGAGAATACCCGTATAATCAGTATAACCAGTCGATATTTAGCGTATACCCGGATAATCCGCGTAATCTGGATATTCAGAGTATACATTGATATCCAGAGTGAACCTAGTTAAAGGGTTATATACAATATGATACGCTTGATCTCGATATCGGGTGCTTTTTAATTTGAAGATAATTCAGAATTAAAGTTTCAATGGATTCATTATATGATTTAGAAATATTTTCTTAAATTTATTTTGATGTCAAGTTGTATTGAATCCATTAATATAAGTCGAGTGTAAACATTTTGCATGGTTGAAAGAAATTGTGCCTGAAGAACCTTCAGCGTAAGAACTGTGTTAAATTGAACATGACGTTCAGAAAAGGAGTATGTTACTATATTATGTATACTTACTCTATATTCGTTTCATGAACTTCTTAATTGAACGAATTACGTTGATAATTCGTTTAAGTCAAGCTTTAACAAATAAAACTCGTCTAATTCTAATTTCTCCATCAACTAACTCAATGGCAAATACTATTAGAATTCCTACAGTTTAAGTACAATTTACTGGTTAAATAAAAACACAAAGAGTGGATGAAATGCAATAGTTGCAAAAACTGAGCTTCAAAGAAAAGATATTTTTTCGTATGTAAAATTTACTCCTTCTTTTTAAATTCTATAGCTCGGTAGCACATATTGTGTAAAATAAAGTCATCATTGCAATACTTTTATTACAAATTCTTACCTCACAACCTGCCTCAGGATCTGCATAATGACGGTCTGGGTAGGGAACCTTTCTACAGTCAAAACTAGTGTAGGTTTCAGATACAGTGATCGGCAGAGGTTTGACAGATTCTACTTCATAGGGACGTTTCTCCAGTAGGACGGGACCAACAGGAGCGTGATACTCAGGCTTGGGTGGAGCATAGGCAGCAGGTTCATAGCTGCTTGATGGTTTATACGGAGCGGGTTCATAGGGAGCAGGAGCATAGGGTTCAGGAACGTAAGGAGCAGGAGCATAAGGATTGGGTTCATAAGGTTGGGCAGAATATGGAGAGGAATCATAAGGATCTTTGCTTTCAGATTCAGGAACATAGGCAGGCTTTAGCTTTAGAGGAGGGGAATATCCTGAGGAGTAATCGTAATCGTAATCGTTATCGTTATTGTTATCAGAGTAAGACTCTGAAAATAAGGAATTTTGCATGAATTCGTTGAAAGGACTATTATCATAGGAGTTCTGGGAGGATTCTCCGCTAATTTTAAGAGAATCAAAAGGAAAATTAGAGGAAAAATCTGAGGAAAAGAATGGATCGGAGGAAAAGGATTTACCTGAGTAGGTTGAGGAAGGGAGGTCTAAGGAAGGAGGATTATCAATGAGGTGTTCCATCATGTGCTGACCTTCTCCCCCCTCTAGTCCAGCAGCATCAAGGAGATTCAGCTCATGTCTCATATGTGCTGATTCAGGTATCTTTCCTCCTTTAGCAGGCTCTACACTGTCTCTGTAGAGCTCAAGGGGAATAGCTCGTCTTGTATTCTAAATTATAAAAATCAGAATCTTACTTTCTGGTTTCTAACAGAGGTACTATGCTACCTAGTACCTACCAGAGGCACCTTGCTATCTGGTTCCTAACAGAAGCACTATGCTACCTAGTACCTAACAGAGGCACCTTGCTAACTAGTTCCTTGCTATCTGGTACCTAACAGAGGTACTATGCTACCCAGTAAATATCTGAGGCACCTTGCTAATTAGTTCCTTGCTATCTGGTTCCTAACAGAGGTACTATGCTACCTAGTACATAACAGAGGTACTATGCTACCTAGTACATAACAGAGGTACTATGCTACCTAGTTCCTTGCTATCTGGTTCCTAACAGATGTACTATGCTACCTAGTACCTAACAGAGGCACCTTGCTAACTAGTTCCTTGCTATCTGGTTCCTAACAGAGGTACTATGCTACCTAGTACATGACAGAGGTACTATGCTACCTAGTTCCTTGCTACCTAGTACCTAACAGAGGTACTATGCTACCTAGTACCTAACAGAGATACTATGCTACATAGTACCTACCAGAGACTATGCTACCTACTACCTAACAGAGGCACCTTGCTAACTAGTTCCATGCTATCGGGTTCCTAACAGAGGTACTGTGCTACTTAGTACATAACAGAGGTACTTTGCTTCCTAGCACCTAACAGAGGTACTATGCTACCTAGTACCTAACAGAGGTACTATGCTATCTAGTACCTAACAAAGATACTATGCTACCTAGTAACTAACAGAGGCGCCTTGCTAACTAGTTTCTAATAGAGGTACCTTACTATCTAGGTAAAAAAAGGGTAACCTTAGTTCCCTAAAGATGTACCTTGTTATCTAGTTCCTAAAAGAGGTACCTTGCTATCTAGTTCATAACAGAGGTACCTTAGGATCAAGTTCCTGACAATGTACTTTGATATCTAGTTTCTAAAAGAGATACTTTTTTACTTGATTCCTAACAGAATTACATTGCTATCAAAATCCTAACAGAGATGCTTTGATATCTAATTTCTAACATAAGTCTTTGCTACCTGGTTCCTAACAGAATTACCTTGCTATCAAGTTTCTAACAGAGATGCTTTAATATCTAGTTTCTAACAGAGGTACTGTGCTATCTTGTTATCTACTTCCTAACAAAGGTACCTTGCTATCTAGTTCCTAACAGAGGTGCTTTGATAACAGTTTCTAACAGAGGTACTTTGCTACCTGGTTCCTAACAGAGGTGCTTTACTATCTGGTCCCTAACAGAGGTGCTTTACTACCTGGTACCTAACAAAGATACCTTGCTAACTGGTTCCTACCAGTGGTATCTTACTATCTAGTTTCTAGCAGAGGTTCCTTACTATTTGGTTCCTAACAGAACTATCTTGCTATTTACTATCAGAGGTACCTTACTAGCTGCTTCCTAACAGAGGTAACTTTTTATCTTGTTTCTAGCAGAGGTACCTTACTATCTGGTTCCTAACAGATTTTCCTTGTTATCTAGTTCTGAGCTTTAAACTAGGGATATCGCAAGCAATTGAAACCAGGGTTCATTAATATATAAATAGACATTTTTTAAAATAAATAAATGAATGTTTTTTACTTAAAAAGAATGCAACACATTTTTAGTTTCCCTTAAATGACTTTTATAAGATTGTTTGGACTCCAAAACTATTTTCGCACCCTGTTATATGCTGGATCTGAACTAGCGACCACAAAGATCCAGCCTAGTAGTAAAGCTGTGGTTGACGAACCCTTCATCTTATCTGAAATTTTAAATTATTACAATTTTAGATATTTGCTTAAATTCCTAAAAGATATATAAGTGAAAAGTATCATATCTTCAGAACTATAAAAATTATTAACAAAACTATATTAATAAATACCATCATTATTGGAGTAATTGGAGTGATTGGCCCTTTGAATTTGATGTTTACATTAATTATAACATTGCATTACAATTATTTATTCAATAACAAAAATGTGTTTTCTTTGTATGCAAGACAATTGGAATGCAAAGATTAAGGGATTAGAAAAATGTAGTTTGTGAAAAAGACTCAATTCTTCTCTTTTAATTGTATTTTTCAGAAAACAATCATTCGCCTCTAACTCTAATTTTTAACTCTGATATTTTAAATTATGATAATTTTTTCTTGCTTTCAAATTCAGATATTACATTGCAAACACTACATTATTTTATTTTCTATTTTACTATATAAAGGTATTTTCTAATTCTAATGTCTTGAAAACCTGGTGGTTTAAACCTTTAGTTCGTGCCAAAAGACTCAATTCCATTAGAATTTGATAATTAGAAAAACTGGAAATGAAATAATGCTGTGCTCTGGAACGACTGCGGGGAGTATATAAATACGCATGACGCAAGGACAGATGGACGTGATCCTGTATCTATCTAAATCTACAGATTTCTACAGATGACGCAGAATCAAGATAATTTTCCGTCCCTCCTCCCAGTCTGAAGGTTTTACAATCTACACCCCCCAGATGCTCCAGATTTATCTGTAATATTGAGTCCAGATTTCGTAACGTTATCCATCTTCAAGGATGAATATTACATCTTCGTAATCATAATTTTATACGTATAATCAGAATTTATACTGTCTGTTTCCTTATATTCATGATAGTATTAATTTTAGCACTTAGCTTTGAAACAGTTTGTTTTTTAACTCTTCTGGATTTTCTTGAGCCATGTGAGGTCCCTCAAATAAATTGGGTCCCATCGGTTATAAATATTGAAAAATCAAACCTTATATATATACTAAGGTATAATTCATACAATTATTATAGATATATAATACGGTAGAATGGAACGAATGCAAATGCATAATGCAGGCTAGAATGCACCTTTGCCCGTTTTAATCACTTAAATAGCGTGATTAACTATCAGGTGCATGAGGTGCAATTTGAAATTTAATTTACATAAATTAAACAAATTACATGATTACAAATTTCCAACAATTTTTCTTTAATTTAATGGAAACTACTAATTACGTTGCGATTTGGTAATTTTTGTTAAGAATTTGAACCTTTCTTAAACGAATTATAAATAAATCTACATCTTAGATGCTACACAGTGCTAGGTGTGACAAGTGATGTACCTTCAGTTGGTTTTGCCTTCATTTCTTACAGGAACAAAATTATGGCAAAATTATAAGAAGAGCAAATATTTTTAAAATTGTTTATTCCGATCATTTGTTTAAGTTAAGATATATGCAAAATAACGACCCAAAAACGATCCAAAAGCGATTAAAAAAGGAACGTTTTTGGATCGTTTTCCATTTTTTAAGGATAAAGACAATATTGCAAAGTTTAATAAAAGCAAAATTTTACCTAACATAGTTTTAAAATCTTCAAAGTTTTATGACATTTTTGATTAAAACTATTCAAAACGATTAACAACACCAGATGAAAAAATCGTTCTTAAACTTTTTTTTCAGCATGGTTCACCTTACTGCGTGTATATAGAAGGGGTACATTAATTTGAAAATCGGTTTAGTAATTTTGTTTTCTCCCCGAAAGTTTTTAATGGTTCTTAAGATCTTAAGGGAAGGTTCCGTTATATCTTTACAAAAAAATTGATAGCTCTAATATGTACATTATGCGTACTTACATATTGCACACGAATGCAATTTTATTAATAATTATCTTACTATAGAAGTATTATATATACAACACAAACCGTTGAAACCCTTTGTAAATGCATTTGAGAGTTTTGTGGTTTAATCATCTATTGGATTTATTAAGTACTCGGGTTAGGGTAAATATTGAACCTAAACCAATAATATATCTCATCAATCATGATCTGTTTACATGATCCTTCTCCATTAGCTGGTTGTATACAGAGATACAACACAATTATTCTACAAGATAAACTCTCATCTTTGTTCTCAACCTGACAGGATGCAAGGTTCGAACCCAAACCATCAATATTCTAATTTAAGCCATACCACAATGCTGGCCTAAAGCACAGTTGTAGGAAGGGGGAGAAGAACAAGCAGAGGGTTGAGATAAAAAGCAGGATTGGAAAAAATAAAATGTAAAAAAAGAAAGGAATAAATATTAAACAAGAAAGATGAAAAGACAAAGGAGAAATAAAAAGAATAAATATAACAAAAAAGGATGAATTAGAAAATAACGGAGGTAAATAAACAAATATCTTTATTCTTTTTTTTCTGTAAGTGATATGTAGTATTTTGTTTTTGATTATTAATGACAACCCTAAAACCACCAATTGGGTTTGACATCACGCCCGTCAGCACCTTCCTAACCTTCCTAGCTACTTCATACTTTTATTCTATAATCTGTACTTCAAACTTGTTCCCTATAGCCTGTTCTTTGCACTTGTGTTCTGTACTCTGTACTTCAAACTTCTTCTCTGTAGTCTGTTCTTTGCACTTGTGTTCTATACTCTTTACTTTTACTAATACTCTGCAGTCCGTACTTTGCACTTGTTCTCTGTAGTCTGTGCTTTTCACTTTATCTATTTAGTCTGTATGCTGCATGGCAATCTACGTTCCTTTCAATATGCTGTGTTCTGTAAGCTGTATAAGAAATTCAGACCCTGCGTTCTGTCTTTTGTTTTCTGTTTTAAATATTCAGTATTCTGTATTCTGATTCCAGCATGTATTCATTCTGTATTGGGGAATATGTTTTTCTATAAGCGTATTTTTTATTTTGAGGTCTATTCGGTTTTTAAATTCTGTATTCTGAATTTTGGACTTGTTTATGCTAAATTTTGTGTGCATACATTTACCTAGTATTCTGTATTTGTAGTCTGAACTCTATAAGCTCTATTTCAACCCAATTTTATTATTTTTATAATTTTAAGTTCACGATCCGACAGAGACATGAAGATCCAGCTGAGCACAGCTAAGCTATTAATGACACGGTTCTAGATTTGATAAAAATTAAGGATTCGATTCCCGATATTCTTTCATTAAATATTGTTTATCTAGAATCTAGATGATATATTTAATTAAATATTTCATCACAAAAATTTACCTTATCAAATCTTCTGCATTTTTCTGTCTTGAAACTTTAAAAGCACTGAATAGATTGCAAAGAACTGATTGGTTCTTTGTCAGGTTATTTGCAATTAAAAAAAAAAGAATTTAAATATAATGTTCAAACACTTTAGCTCCGGGTTGAAATTAAGTAGTGTACAAACCTCAGTATCCTGGTAATATACTGTAGTATATAGTAGGGTTGGGCTCTGGAGGATGTTTCGGGTGTTTAGTTGAACTTTATTAGAGTTAGAGCAAAAGATGTTGTAAAATTGTAATATTTATATTTAATGAGTTTTTGCCAGAATACTTCATATTGGTTTAGTAAATCACGAGGAACAGACAGTGGCGTTTACAGGATCTAATCTATGGGGAGTTTAAACTGCATTATCTGCCATCCTTTTTTTGTTTTCTTCAATGAACGGGAGGGGGGAAAGTTGTAAAATACCAGGGATTCAATATGAGGGAAATCCCAATTTTTTTGTTCTTCCCCTGCCCCCCCCCCCACTTGTAGTCTACGCCCTCAAAACTAAGTTTTCGTAAAGGAACTGAATTTCTGCCACACATTCAAACTTTCTAATAGATTATTTGATCTAACATACGAAATAACTTTGCAAAGATATAGGAATTAGAAAATCAGACATTGTTACAAAAAACTCGATTTCTTTGAAGAGAAAAGATGATAAAATTACTCAATTTGGGGCGCATCAAGGTAAACAGACTAAAAAGGTGGAATTCTGTTCCAGGAAAATTTTTGTTCTTGGACAGAAAATACATATGCCAGAGGGTAGGTGAATATATCTGCCGGGGTAGGGGAATATATCTGCCAGAGGTTAGAGGAATATATCTGCAGGGGTAGAGGAATATATATCTGCCGGAGTAGGGGAATATATCTGCCGGATTAGGGGAATATATCTGCAGGGGTAGGGGAATATATATCTATCAGGGTAGGGGAATATATCTGCCAGAAGCTAGGGTAATATATATCTGCCAGGGTAGGGGAATATATCTGTCAGAAGCTAGGGTAATATATATCTCCCAGGGTAGGGGAATATATCTGCCAGAAGCTAGGGTAATATATATCTGCCAGGGTAGGGGAATATATCTGCCAGAAGCTAGGGTAATATATATATACCAGGGTAGGGGGATATATCTGCAAGGATCGGGGAATATATCTGCCAGGGTAGGGGAATATATCTGTAAGGGTAGGGAAATATATATTTAAGGGTAGGGGAATATATCTGCCTGCGTAGGGGAATATGTCTGCCAGGATTGGGTAATATATCTGCCAGAATAGGGAAATATATCTGCTAGGATAGGGGAATATAGCTTTAGGGGTAGGGGAATATATCTGCCAGGGTAGGGGAATAAATCTGCTTGGGCCTAGGGGGATTTATCTGTCAAGGTAGGGGAATATATCTGCCAGGGTAGGGGAATAAATCTGCTTGGGCCTAGGGGGATTTATCTGTCAAGGTAAGGGAATATATCTGCCATGGTAAGGATATATATTCCAAGGTAAGGGAACATATCTGTTAGGGTAGGGTAATATATCTGCCGGGAAGGGGAATATATCTGCTGGGGAAGGGGAATATATCTGCCATGGTAGAGGAATATATCTGCCATGGTAGGGTAATATATCTGCCGGGGAAGGGGAATATATCTGCTGGGAATAAATCTTGCAATGTTGCGGTTTCGAATATTAACCATGAAACCCTAAACACATGTCTTAATCTTAGTAACAGACGCCAAGAACACGACTTGCGTCGGGA